GCCAACTTGCCAGCCAATGTAGTCGCCCACCTGCCCTAAAAAGAAACACGAGAGGACAAACGACAGTCGATCTATTCATGGAGAGGCAGCAATGCAAGTGGATGTGTGGAAAATAGAGATACATCCATTAAATAAGTCTTCAATCTCAATTTGGAAACTACCATCCGGACATACATTACATCTCCAAGACAACAAAAAGCCCAAATATAAATATGGAGCCATTTGTTGTTGACTCCCTGGCAACAAGCTTCACACCTGTCAAGAGAAGGAGCACATCGCCTATGATCATCTGCCGCTGCTGCTCATGCTGCTCATGCTCACATGTATCTCAGAATCCAACTGTACGATTTTCGGGAGCAAATGTAGAGATTCGCACTTGTGCACAAGGATGAGTTATGGGGGAAAATCATGTGCACATTGGTGTCTTCGGCTGGGCTACTTCACGTGAGGATCGTTGTCCTCCTTTTCCCGGGACCGGAACACCGATTTTATATATTGATTTACATCTGGCCTCTCCTCCCATGTTCGAGCACTTTTTGTTTTTCTTCGTGTCCATGACCTTCCGATCCGTCCACAGCAAATCCCAAACCCTGGAGCGCGCATGATTCCACTGGACTGTGATCCATCTCAAGTCTTCCTCTCACTTCTGAGTCAGCGCGTGTATCCGCAACAGTTTCCTCTGCCACAACACACGAGCCGCTAATTTGATCTTCTCTATACGTACGTACTTGGTGGGCTCTCTAGCTGGCCGGCCGGCCGGCAGCAGAGTGTGGGCTGGGCTTTTGGGCTATGGGGCAAACCCATAGCCCAGCGAGTTCTTCTCGTAGAACATTATGAGAAGACGTGGTTGGCCAGAACCTACACCTTTCAGCTGGAGTGAGTGAGTGAGTGAGTGTACATACATACGCACGCCCTTCCTCTTCCCTGTCCAAATCTTGTTGGGTTTTAAATCCCTGGTTTCATTTAGTGCAGCCTGTGGGGGAAGATGAGAAGGTGGAAGGAAGGAAGGAGTCTGAGAAAAGCGCAACAATCGTCGAGGCCTTCGGGGACTGGTACATTCATGGCTGACAAAACACAAAGCCCCAAAAATCCCCAACAACAACCTCCAACCCTCGCAAGTAATGGACTAGTATCCAAAAGCCCTGCCTGCGTGCCTGTCCCCATTCCCACCTCTTTGAAAGGGGGCACTGTTCGAGAGCACCGCGACATGTTAATCACAAATTTGGCATAGAACGAACAGTGCGTCAAAATCATTGTTTACGGGGCTTTCGATGGTCGACATGGAACAAAACACGCAGAAGCCAACATCCCCTTCTTGCACTGCATAGATGAGATTGGAGATGGATATGGATGGGGGGGGGGGGGCCGATGATGATCAATCATGCACAGTGAGCCAGTAGGAGTCGTAAGAAAAGGAGGAGATAGTGGTCGCAACGATTCCCCAACGAGAGTGTGGGTGTTGTTGCGTTATCCTGGGGAAAGTTATGAGGGAGAATCGAATCTCACGTAAAACATTCACCCAGAACATTACAAAGATTTGGCCAAGAATTCTGCCCAGATCAGACACATTGTCCACACAGCACTCTCATGGCCTGCAGCAGCAGGAGATAAATGGTCAGATGCACAGGTCAAGTGATTGATTAAAGGAGAAGGAACCAATGAACAGATCCGAGAGGTCCCTTCTAAGGTGTACGTGGTCCACTTTCTGCCGAAAGTATGGCCCTCTCACATAGTATCTCAACTGGTGAGCTAAAGGCTCTGAGTTTAGTAAGTTATGGCTGTTAGTCCTCTAGCCAGCTAGGACACAGTAGATCTATGTAGATCGCAGTTTCCTCATATAAAAGGAGAGATTGCAAGTGTGACTGGATATGCTTCCCTCTTTACTCCAAAGGTCGGGGCTGAATCTAAGGTCGATCGCAAGCAGACATGTTAAAGCGAGCAAAAGCCAGCCAGCCTGAGCGCCTGCTTGCCGGGAGGTGGTATGATCTCCACAAATTCATAAATTATTCCACTTGTGGCTCCCACTTATGTGGGTACCGGTGGGCCTGAGATAGTGTGCTTTTATGAATGTTCTCCTCTTGTAAAAGACCAAAAAGCAGAAGGGCGTTGTGCTCTCGAGAGAATAAGAACCAACAGCTGCAAACATTCAAAAAGTAAAGCAGTAATAGCAGCAGCAGCGACCGACTGCTGCTGTTTGGCTCGGCCTCACACATACACACCGCCCGAATGACCGTCATAAGTGAAAAGATGGACGCTGAAAGGGCGAGGGAATGAATGAAGGAAAGAGTGCGGTAGGGAATGTGGGTGGCAAGGCAATCCCTTCCATGGCTACTTGCTTGGACTTGACTCGAAAAAGCAAAGGGGCGACCGAGTGACATGTACCCCGGAAAAGGTACATCGGCTCTTGGCTCTCGGCTTGCTTTTGGCACAAGCTTTCTTATTCCTGCCATTCGAAGCTGCGCATTGACCTCGACCAACAACCCCATGGACCTTCTGTATGTATGGTCCCCCATGGTGTCTGCGCTTGTCACGAAATGTGGCAATATTTTAAAAACAGCCTCCTCCACCCACAAAGAGAGATATAGAGAGAGATGGAATCATGGAAAGATGCAGATGTCAATCAGTCAATCAATCAATCAATCAGTGAGTCAGTGGGCAGTCCTGCGCGGAGGCGACGCTCTTTGGCTTATTACCGGACTTAACTTCCGTCCTAAACAATCAAACTGTATCATTAGAGGGCCACTCCATACATAGTACTCGTGAGGCTGTATCTTGTCTATCCAAACGTGGAATGCATTTAACTTGCAGCTGCTGGAGACCCAGATTTGTCTCCGATTCTAGGGTGTTGGACAAGTTTCGATTATTTTTCCGCGAGGCGTTGAATGCCGATCGGGCTATTAAAAGGTCGCACATGTTGGTCCACGAGTCGCGCTGTTGTGGCCGCATTACAACTGCATCCGAGTGAACAGCGCCAAAAGATCTAAAGCTCTCTTCTTATTCGGGGAGTCGTAAGGGAAAGTGCTCCGAGAAGCAGGCAGCTGGTCATCATATCATGCAAGGCTATGGATGTGCTTGAGCTTGAGCTTGTGCTTGTGCTGGTGCCTGTGCCTGTGCTCGCGGGCGCCCGCCCCCCGCCAGCCATATCTATCGGTCGTCGGAAACATGGACTGTCCCCTAAGCCAGGAATTTCTGTCCATTGCGGGATGTTGAAAACTGCTGCTGCTGTTGCTGTTGATGAGTTCTCGCATCATCGATTTGGAATGAGGGAATGAGGGTGCAAAAGAGAGAGAGAGAGCGACACAACACAACACAACGCAGTATGTGACATTCATCTCCTCCTTCTCGTCACGCTTGGAATGTTCCAAAAGTGACGGGTCCAGGGCTTAGACTTATCCTCTTTCCAAAAGCAAGGGAGGGAGGGAGTGAGGCCCCAGGTGCATGTGGCCGCAAAGGACAAGCGTCCGACCCTTTCATTGTACGTGTTGCTTAATTCCCTGGCCAGCAGGACGACCTATTACGAAGCTCTTCTTCTTCCGTCCCTTCCCTTCCCTTCACTCCTCTTCTCTAGTTTGCAGCTGAGAAGGGACTCCTCCCTTCCCCCTTCCTGTACTCATCATATCCACAGTTCGCAAAAGGAGCAGCTAGCACGGTGCCACTTTCCATCGTGGGTGCCTAGCCCAGTCCTCTCGGCTTGTCTTCATCAGCCTTGCTCCCATTCCGTTTTCCATCTCGAAAATCTAACATCACTCGCTCGCTTGTGAGTAATAATAATGATATTAAGTCTGAGCTCAGAGGTTGTGCCGGGCAGAGCTGTCACCACATCCCTTCCTTCGTTCCTTCATCCATTCGTTCTTTCATTCCTTGACCACGAGCTCGAAGGTACCAGCGGACCGATCATTCGTCTGTGTCCTGCTTACCCTCTGCCCCCGATTTCTCGTATTTTCCGAGTGTACGTGATATGGAAAGGAAAGGGAAGGGAAGGGGATGCTTGCACAGCCACCACGTTGGCATGGAACGATGGTCGCACCGGACCATGACAAAGGGGACGACTGCGACGTCGCTCTCGCAACGCTCTCACCCACCACTCGTTCTCGATAACCTGAAAAGTTCGTTCTGTTGTGCCCAAGTCATCCATCCATCCATCCGCCTTGAACTCTGTGCGAGGGGGCGAGAGCTTCCTGTCGCGCGGATCAAGTTGTCGCGGGCGGACCTACGAGACGAGAACCCTTGGCCGAGCGCATGGATAATGCACGTCCCAGATTACGGAACGAGCATTTCTCCGGCGTTCCGATGCGGAATCTTCGGCAGTAAATGGCTGGAATCGGAGGGAAGGAAGTACGGGCCAGAGGCCAGAGGCAAAGGGCCAGGGGTTGGGGTTGGGGTTGGGGGAAGAAAGGGGGAGACGTCGGGGCCCGACAACAATGTTGGGAGCAAGAGTTGCAGCCGAAGCTCGGGTGGACACGATACCGATTCTTCATTAATTCGATTAACGGCCCGCTCTCCTGCGGTTTGGAGACCTAATAAGATTTGGTGAATTTGAATGTGAGATGCTGTCAGGAACGCGTCTTAACCAAACATTAACACACACCCATCATTTATGCCCAGCCCCCTCCGACCCCCATCCCCGTCCCCCACCCGCTGCCCCCTTCCCTGCCCCTGCCCCTGCCCCCCGCTTTTAACATGGCGGTGGTCTCCAGCCAGTCGTAGCCGTAGAGAATATGTATGGGATGATGACTTGACATGGCGGGCGGCGGGCCCCGCTGCTCGATGTCAAATGGGCACTTTACATGTACCATGCATGCGCACTGATGCCCATGGCATAATAGTGGACACCGAACCGGGCTTGATGAGCTGATGTCATGCGCGCTCAGGGCTACGGTTGTGACATCATCATCATCACCATCATCATCATCATGCGAGGCCGACGCTGATTGACTCACTCGAGAGCCCGATTGCCCCTTTCTGCCCCCATCGCTCGGTGCGCCTTCCTCCGCATATCCTCCCCTTTCACATTTTGCCCTTTCGCTCGCAATGATGCCCTCCATCGCCCGATTCGCCCCTCCCTTTATCGCCTCGTCTCAATTTCTCCTCTCTCTCCCTCCTGTGTCTATGATTGCTGTCCACCTCTCTGTGGGAATTCCTCCTTCTGCTGCTGCTCCTCCTCCTCCTCACCATCCTCTCCCTCTTCCTCTTCCTTGCCAGCATTCGCATCTCCTGGGAAACACGACTTTCTTCCTTCTGGTAAGAGTTGTTTATGTAGAGTTTTCTGGTTTGTTAAGGGACACAAATATTATTGACAATGGCACCTCGAGAGAATCCCCTGTTTTAATTACAATTATCTCGTCCCGTGCTGTTCTGTCTTGTCCTGTACCGTCCCGTCCCATCCACTCATACCAGTAGGATTTGGCGATTAAATCACGTAAGGAAGTGCACGGTTTTGATGTTCGATCGATTTGATTTGGTTTGGTTTGCGTCCATTCAGTTCTGCCGAGAAGAGATTCCGAGGGCTTCGCTTGGGCCATTCTCATGTTTATAACTGTGAGTTCTTGGATGCTACAGTTATTTATTCATCCGTCCAACCTCACAGAAGCTTCACGTATTTCTGATCTACCATTTTCGGGGCAGAAGGAGAGAACCCGTCCGCCCGGCAGAAAAACGCAGCGACCCAAGAAGATACAACGAACGAGGTGGTGTCGTGAAACTCTCTCTCTCGATGGCGCATTGAACAGAATACGCATCGGATGTGCAATTAGGGGCTACTTTTATTCTCATTTACATTCACACATTGGCTATCGATCGAGTAGTAAATTCCAATCCGATCGTTCACGCGGGCCTCTGTCTCTCTCAGATTTCAAGCTCCTGTGACCTTCATGATTGCCCGCCGCTCAAATAATATGTCGTGAACATGGAAGTTTTGACCTTTGCGTAGAGGCTAGAGGAGATTTTTCCCGTTCCGGATAAGTCACAAAGCCTTGGGCAATAATCACCGATGTCTTCTATCGACCGCTCACATGTCCTGAATTGGCTGTGCTTTTACTTTTAATCCCCCGCCAAAGACTGTATTACTCGGGGCGGGGCCGTCAGGCCACAATGCGACTGGGATGATGCCCACGTACATGCTCCAAATCCTGGGCGCTTAAAGCGAAAGTGGACTTCAAGAAGAATAATGGAGTTTGAGGGTCCAAACTATCATTGACAGACGCGTCAAATCCGTCCTGCACAGCACAGCACAGCACATTCCAAATCAGCTTGGCCCGTTAAACCAACCACTCATGTCCCCAGTGTCTGGGCCTGTTTTTACTTTATAATAATTCTGCTTATTATCATTATCTCGCCCTGTTTGAAACCGGTGCATTCTAAAGTCGAAAGCTGAGTTTCAATGCATTCACGTTCGAAGCCATGCATTTACTATTCCAAACGCTCCTCTGTTTTCATCCACGGACATACTTTTCAACATAGAGCAAGATCTCGAACAGATACATAAAAGTTCATGAGAAAAGGTATCCAAGTCAGCCAGTCTTTTTCTTTCATTTTCTATAGCCTAGGTTTCACGAACCCCCATAAAATAATTCACTGAGATTTTGCCTTACGCATAAATTTCTCAACAGGTCAATGTAAAAACTGTGTGGATAAATCCAGCTATCCAGTTCCTCTCACTCTACTGTACTTCAGTGTTATTCTTACTCGATATGCAGATTGTGACCGGTGGTAAAATGCGGAGTGCCTTTTCAGGGCCCCTTCCTTACCCATACAAACGCAATACAGATTATGGAATTTCCTTAGAGGGTTATGATACCTGCCTACTGTATCTTGCATAAAACGTATTCCGTTTTAGTTCTGCCCTTCATTATTTTGATCGTACGGTATTCGGGGTTTGACACTTTCTTGTCCAATTTTTATAGGCCTTGGAGCTAGGCAGCTTGGAAAGCTAGCATAACGCATCTGCCTCCACAGAAACAGAAATCCATGAGATTAGTCTATGCTGCAAGTGACTATCATGATCTGATCTGTGGAGGAATCGAAACCTCGAGACCAAAATGCACAGATAGAACCACAGACGTGAGATGCATTACACTGGAAAATGATACATATAAGGTAGACTGCCAGCTGAGCTTGTTCAGCTGGTCTCGGTTGTCACCCACTCGAGCATCTACACACATCCAACCACGGCAGTCGCATGATTAGGATGATGAGAGACCATTTACAAGCTCAACGATTTGACAAACAGTTCTGGACACCAAAGACACCACTGTACTTTCCATTTCCTACACCGTCCTCGATGGCCTTCCCATTATGCTAGACTGCCGCTGCCCAGATTACAGTACCGCTGGCTCGTTGAATAACTTATGCTGTCGTCATGCGTTAGTAACGGACTTTCATTCGATCCGCAAAAGATTTTCTGGACCTGTTTTTTTGTTTTGTTTTGTTTTGTTTTGTTTTGTCGAGGCGCCAGGAGAGAACTCCCAAGAGAGTTGTATGTATGTACAGTATGTATGTATCTCTCTTCACCCACTTGCACCCCGATTCGTTTGGAGATGATGTCCGATTGGACCACAACCATAATTTGACGAAATCAAATGAGGACTCGCAATCTCCACTCGATTTGGAACTGTCAAATTAATCATATTTCGAGCGGAACTAATCTTGCCCATCCTGCCTACCAGATTTCAAGCGCTGTTGCATGAACTCCACACGTTCAAGAGATTCCGGTACCATATTCATGAGGATTTAGTTTGGGTCCGAGCAAGCGTGAACCAATGAATGGCTCGTGAGCTCCTCCAATTCAGTTTCAGCCTGAGCAGTTGGAGGCTACCAGAGTCTAGAGAGAGTTTTGGCCCTGCCTTCCACTGGTAACCGATTCCGGGCATGGACATGGCGTTTCGGTCTAATTATCACCTTCTCTACAAAACACTAATGCCGATATCATCGCGGACGACGACAGTACCAACAGATCAGTTGAAGAAGCCATTCGCGGCCGACCGTCTGCTCCGAAACAAGAATAGGCACTGGGAACCGAACGGCTTAATTAGAAGACAAATCATGCTCCCTAATCACCACGATTTTAATAAGCATTAGGCTAATTTTGCAACCGACATCGAGGTACGAAGACAGCAGGTCCAGCCCCAGCAGCCTCCACTAGACTTGGAGACATTCAGACACTCCCTCACTCGATTAGTCAAAGATAAACAGCTCCCTGATCCGCATCCGCTATCCTTAAGACATCATCAACATAGCCTTATCTGGCCTACAGCCAAAGTCCCCTCCAGTCCAGTCAAGTCCACTCCACTCCACTGCCCCCCCCCCCCCCCCCCCCCTCTCGACGCACGGACATAGTGATTAATATGTCACAATGCTGTTTTGCCACAATGGGCATAAATAAGTAGACGAGCTGAGTTAGGCGGCAAATCAAGCCCACTTATTTGGGGGGTAACGGCCCCCAGCGACCAAACATAACTTCTCGAGTCGAGGCTCCGATTTTCTCTCTGCTCTCTCTAATTCACGAACTTCCACTTACTATAGGGGGGTCAACACCAAATGTTGGCCGCAACCGAACCACTTCCTGAAGTGGCCGGACATGAGCCCTAACGAGCTAACAAGTCTCCATCTCTCTCCATCTCTAAGTATAACTTTCTCCTTCTGACCAAGTTGGGCTGCAGCTATAAACTCCTGACAACTCTATCTGGAGCGATCCTCATAACTTCGAGGCCGCTGGGGGCTGCTGATTAGAGCTCAGCTCAGTGCTAGTGCTAGTGCTTGTACTGGACAAGGCAATGTCCTTCTAAGTCCAGGGACCGGGGAGTTAATTTAGTGTTATAAGTAGTAACAGCGCCATAACAATGTTCTGATCCGGTTCCTGGCTCTCCCTTCCGGCGTACATTTACGGCTCCGGCAGACTCCGAGGAGGGAGGGAGGGCACGTAAATGCCTAAATGCGGGAGGCTCCTTCTTCCAGGGGGCTGGGGTTGGGGATATATTTCCCAGACCCGACCCGACCCGACCCCCTCGTGATACTGCCCCAGCCCCAGCCCCCCCTAGAGCAGGGGGGCTGGGGCTGGGGTTGGGGTTGGGCCTGGGGCTGGGCTAGGCCCCGATCTTACCCCCGGGCATTCATGCATGTACGAACTTGACTTGACTCGATCGATGGGACTGCGCATCCTTTTCGCCGTAAGGCTCGGAGCCCCGGTCGCGCTTTCTTTCTTCTCTGGAAAGGGTCGTATTATGTGGGACAGGTCATATGCGAGGCCTGCAGTAAAGAACAATGAGTACAGCGAACACGTGGAGCGTACCCATAGCGAGAGAGCGAGAATTTGTCACCAGTAAACACGTGTGGAAAACTGTACCTCATCACCCTGGCTGGAATCCGACGGACGCACGAATGATCTCATTCACTGTGTTTCTCTTTTAACCACGTGATTTCAAGGCGCCTTCTCGGCTGATCCGATCCAAATCATCCGATGCCGTATGCTCTGAAGTCCATGATTGTTGGTGGCCGAGGCCGGTCTCCTGTAGTTTCGTCGAGCGCCCCTTGCTTCCGAAGCTTGCATTCGGCCTTGGGCCTCGGGGCGAATCTCCTCCCAGCAGCATCAGCAGCAGCAGAGCAGAAGAAGAAGCAGAAGCCGAAGCCGACCACCTTTCATGCATCCCCGCTTGCTTGCTTGCTTGCTTCCTTCCTTCCTGCCTGCCTGCCCCGCCTGCCTGCCTTCCACCTTTGCATGTCCAGGCGCAGGAGGATTGGTTAGGACATGCTGGTGGCTCGGAGATGAGGGGCACCACAGCATCATCCCATCGCAGCGCATCGCTTTGCCTCGCCTTGCCTTGCCTTCTGTTGCTTTCATTCTTTTGGCCTCCATCTGGTACTGCTGCGAGTCCACGCAAATGGCCACACTGTTGCATCATTTGGGGTCACTGTTGGCTCGAGAGGCGCTCGGTGACAAAACTATCATTTGGACACTCTTTTCAAACATGCAGGGGAATTACCATGTTCACCACCTTTCCGTGACTTGTCTATTCTATCACCGGAATTATGACTTTCGCTCTCGTTCCCTGTACCTGCTTCGAGGAGAACGGTTTTGACCAGACCGACTGAGCCTGAGCCTGAGCCTGAGGTGGTGAGAGTGTCACGGCCATTCGGGTCAATTGTCTCCACGCCACGGCTGGCTGGCTGGCTGGCTGGCCTGGTATCTGCCAGCAGCAGCAGCGAGCCGTCATGGATGCCAAGGCTAATAATCATCTCTTCGCCAATCAATCATAATGGACCGCATCATGATTATCATCAGCTGATCATCTTGATTATAAAGTTTGTGTGTCTGCGCTAACGATGAGTTTACTCAAGAAGGTGCAGCTTATCTAGAGGTCGTTGCATGATGACGAACAATTAGTCAATTATGTGGAGTTCTTACGAATCAGGTCAACGTCAAGCTGCCATCGTCTGGAGAAGATGGTGGCCCGAGAGGGGAAACATATGTGCATGAGATCCAAACGAGATCACGCTTTTAGAGAATGATGATGTACAATGTGGTCGAGTAACCAACATCGTACTTCAAACTTTCCGCCTTTCATACTTAGCATGTGATGATTTCTGGCAATGAACCAGAAGTTTTAACACGAGGGAAAATCATACCGAAACGAGACACACTTTTGATTCGATCATATGATTCATCCACTTTCGTCGAGTTCTCTCAGCTCCTCGAGCTTCTTTCGGCCAGGGTTCTCACATTTTTCAATTATCTCTTCCATGGTTGGCCTGAAACTAGAGCTTCGGTTCATGTTTTGATTTCGCAGCTAGTGAGCCTGACTCTAATCATAAGCGTGTGATGTTAGACGAAGGTTAATGTCGACTCGAAGCAAATTTCCTATGACGTCAGCGATATTTAATCAATCACAAACAGCACTTTGAGCTTACAATATTGACATGGAAATGGCGTTCTTCTCAGCGACAACAGGCATTGATGAAATGTATTCTGGATCCAACTCATTGGAAGAGTTTTGAATCTAGTTTAATCATTGCCTGGAGAACTTGGAATAAAATGTGGCCTAATGCATGACCGCAATCACCACAATGCACACGCGTGTGAGGTGCTGTAACACTATATCGTGGTTCATCTCAAGGAAGATACATCGAGTCTTAAAGAATGCATTGTCTAAATACACTTTTCAGGGTCACCCCAGGAGGACAATGGTAACAAACCTTGAAAGATAAAAAGACTGAAAAAACAAGACATGCACAGTCCCAGAGAAGGTCGGTTCTTATTATATGCAGATCGAGGGCACAGACGAAGAAGGATAAGATTGAAAAATGCGAAAGATGTACTAATCAGCTCTCATGTAATCATCATCAGACCTCAACCTCGTCCTCCAATTCGCAATGATGCATATTCTCGCACTGTGGACAAAATGATAAATTATGTGGAAGCGAGATGAGCGATAGCGTAGTTAGGGAATATAAGAAAAAGGTCATCGGTACTAATCCACCGTAACCACTCACCGAGGGTACATCAGATTTTCTCTGTCTCGGGAGCCAGAGCTGAGCTGAGCTGAGGGTCTCGCTCTCTATGTGTGTCCGGAGAGGAGGTGAGGCTTTGTAGAGCTCCGTCCTGCTGGTGTCACTCAGTAATAAAGCGATTGATTCACTTTTCTCGAAGATAGTGCAAGTGTTCGGATATAAATGTTCGACGATAGTTAGGAATCAATATTTCCAACCAGGATGACCGAGACTTACATCATCATAATATTCTAAAACAGCCCTCTCTTTATTTCTCTTATGTCACCACCCCCAGAAGCTGCTCATGCTGTTCTCTATTTGTAAGGAACTAGTGATCTGAAATATTCCTCCGCTTGACCAATGACAGGCGTTCCTAGCGCTCCAAACTCCACATCATTTTTCATTTATTTGTCCATCCTTAGTCGACAAGTCAAGTTATTAGAAGTGATGTTGAACAAGATTATTCTCCAAGTATCCAGTCCGTCTGAGTCCCGTCCAGTCCAGTCCAGTCCAAGCAGGCCAATGATGGACGTACCAGTAGTTGTCCCAAGAATCGAAGAATTATCGAATTTTGTGTAGGGAAAGAGGGAGGGAACTCAGCCAAGGGTGTACAGATGACCTGAAATGCATCACTCCCTTGCACCCCACGTCCCAAGGCCTCTGCTAGAATCTAGGGCTCATTACCTTAACCATTCCTGAACCTCGTAATTAACTAGCTAATCACTGTATATTATCATATAGTTTTTTCAGATACATAAATACTTGGCCTTGTGCCTTCTCAAATTCTGGCAGTGTGAAGTAAAGGACTGCCGGGATCTGAGTGTCATTTCAGATTATCCTAATATCGTCGGATCATATGTTCTGGATTTTAGGTGCTTCTTCTTCTGAATGTCACTTATCATGTGTTTTACTTATGTCATCCCCAGAGATCGGCTGTGATTCCATCGAGCTGTAACGCCTTAATAAATTGGAGAAATGAAACCTACTTTTGGAATTTTTGAATATTGAGCTCTTTATAGAACGCACTTGTGGAAATGGTTATTGATATCATAGCAGTAGTAGTGGCACGGTAACAGATTAAAGGAGGAGCCACTTTGAAATCCGGAGAAGTTTTTATTTTCTGAAGGTTCAAGTATATAACCTCGAAATGTGTTAGTAGGTGTATATATTTTACATAATCTGATTTGGCCAAGTTTTTATACATATATAGGTCAAACTAGCTTTTTTTTTCTTTTAACCACCAATACTTCGTCAATTCCTTCCTTCATCCAAGAAACAGGTCATTTTCCATTTTCGTTCAAATGTATAAATTCGAATCTTCGTGCGTGTTAAGAGACCTTTATTATCTCTGATTTCTTATGACTATCCGAAGTAAATAACTCGGCTTTTAACAGTATCATATTATCTTCGGTCGTGCATACGCTCAGCAGCCCTTCTTCTTATTAGCGGTGCGTTTTCTGGTTATTTATTTACCTGGCTGCGTCAGGTAGCCGACCTCAAAGACTGTCTTGTACCCAGAGCAAGCCACGACATCAAGCTCCTGCAGAGTTTCCATCAAACCCCTGAGCTTACGTGTGTGATTTCATCTGGTCATGAATAAGTCGAATCTAAACACCACCATGATTGATGAAGTACAACACAATGAATTTCGATGACAGGCAGATTCTCAAGAAGCCGATCTTCAGGGTACAGCTCGTGAAGAACTTTTGATGCCTTGCAAGTCTGATGAGCTCGGAGAGAGAACAATTTCTGAAGGTAAAACAATGGAGACAGGCGAAGTAGTGTGTTCCACGATCACGGTATATTTAGTCCTTGCTGTTCATTCAGATTTCGTTTGCTCCACTTCTTACACAGATTTCAAAACGCTGAACAGGAATCTGTCTTCAATGGCTCATATACGGCCTGTCTCCATCTCTACTTCCTCATTAAACATATCTCGAAAGGTGACGTCGGATGAGACACGGCGTGAAGCTGATTAGTTCCCTCGATTCTTGTAAGTCAGATGATGAAAGTGTCCACTTCTGGAACTCGAACGACAATAGATTCATTTTTTCCTCTGTCTCCGAAATCTCAGTGACAAATTTTATCCAATTTTCTTACCCCAAGCCTTAATTACATCAGATTACTGGCGTCACCAATGAGTCATCGTGTTTTCTTCCAGTCTTTTGAGGTGAATCTTCGCAAAACCAGGCGCAACTTGTTTCAGCCCCTTCAGTTGTGGCGTTATGTGATTTCTAGAAATATAATTTATGCCATATTATAATATGTCGAGTTGTACCAAAATTAGTGTCGTCCTTGTTGCCAGACCTAGTAACTCTGCGACTGATAAAAGTCAAAATAAGTGCTGTACATAAAAGAGAAAGGACCGAATACATCATGAGAGTGGACTACCTTTCATCATAATATTCCCTCTGGAAAAAAAACAACAACAACCAATAGTTTATGTTTTCTATGTCGAGGGACAATGTCACATTATGATTGTCTCTAGTACGTCTTCCTTTTAAACTAACATATGAATATGTATTTAATATTGGTGGTATGAATGTTTTCTTGCTAGCGCAAGGATAGTGATAAATAAATTCAACCTTTAAAGAAGAAAAAGGTTAAGTATGTCCTGTGCCTTGATTCGGGTGCCTAATTTAAGCTCTATATTAAAAAATATAATTCTACATATCACCGAGTAACATTCTAAGTGGACTGTCTATAAACTCCCATGATCTCTCTAATGTCTGCGTGCAATTGCGTTTCTTACCTCACCTTTCGAATCATTTGTCATCATGGACTATTTATTGTTTTTGAACTGGCTAAGATATACATATGTCCAGAGAGAGAGAGAGGATAAAAAAAATTGCTTGGCTTATAAGGGAAGGGAAAATGTAATTACCGTTGAAAAGGTACACCTCACTTTAATTTAATTCAATTCAATTCAATTTGATTATTGACTCTCTCTCTCTCTCTCTCAAAAGCTGAAAGGGAGAAAGTTGAGAGTCTATCGGAGTCCTCCGTGAAAAACGCTCAGAGACGTAGTCGAGAACGAGGAGAATGAGGACGCAAGAGATCAGAAAGCGAAAGATATCAGAAGCACTCATGCGCCTGAAATTAGCTTCGAATCGCAATCGAGCCAATGACATTCTTCGTAACTATAATGGCGAATTAATCGGAGCCGACTTAATTTTTGCCGCGACTACACGCCACGCCATTCCAGGCCACAGTCATTGCATTCAGATCCTCTCGTGAAAACTGGATCCTCTGCTTCGATGACCTGAACGAACGAGCAAGCCTTTCTCGATCGGTCACTTTGTGCACAGTCGATCAGAGAGGGATGGCGGGGAGGGGAGGGGAGGTGGGGAGCTAGCTCTGTAGAACGATTGCGAGCTTCGCAGTGATCTGAGACTGGTTAGATTTGGCCATCTATTGACCAATTATTCTCTTGTTCGCGATCAGACTCGATCGATCGAACTGCGAACTGCATGACGGAATGAATGAATGAATGAACGAACGAATGAATCATGCTTTCCGACGTCATCGATTGGACTGCGACTGGGACATGAATGGAAGCTGGCAGATGCGTCGCTCTTTTGGCGAGAGGAAACAGGAAAAGGGTACGCATCGAGCATTGAGAATGAAACCGAGCTCGCGAGAACCTGCAGCGCTTTCCAGTCCACACTCGAGTGAGAGAGAGAGAGAGAGAGTGCAGTGTATGAAGCAGAAAGTGAGATCCTCGGGAATCCCATGGGACGCACAGAAGCAACGGAACACGCGAAAGCGAAGACGACGACGACGACCTCGACATAAGCCCGGGCCAGGAAAGGGGAGGGGCAAGAAACAACAACAATGGCCACTGTTGACTCTCGCCTCTCGCGCTCTCTTACGGGTCCTGGTTCCATGAGCAGCAGCAGCTGCAGGACAAGCAGTCCGTCATAATAAACGTCGCGCTTAATCGAGCTCAATCCGATTGACTTGACTCGACTTGACTTCACTCGCCTCGCGCATGAGATTCCGTGTGTCTGAGCTAAACCCTCCTGAGCTCGGGCGCTTTGGACAAAGGCACATGTGTGTGAGGGAGGGGGAGGCCGAAGATTTTTTCGCAGCTCGCTCGGTGGCTCTAATCTGCCGATTAATTTACGCTTCGACAGGGATTGAGCACGTTTTAATCACTCGCAGAGTTTGTATTGATGATGGATGATGGGACGCACTGTGGGCCTGTGGGGCTGCAACTATTGCCGTCACATGTCGGACGAATCAGCTGCCCCGCAGGCGAACGTAAGTGGCGGGGTTGCGAGCACATTCAATGGCATGTCATGTCCTCCAGCCGAATCTCCAGTTTTCAATTCGGGCCTGCGAGCGGGAGCTCGACGGGAGGCATGGGGGGGGGGGGGGGGGGCATCCCCGTGATCCAGTAGTGCCACTGCTGCATGGCGCTTAGCTGAGCTGAGTTGCTGAGGGAGGGGAGGGAGATATAGAGAGAGGGCAGGGATGACGGAGCTTTGGAAACAGTGCTGCTGCTGCTGCTGCTGCTGGAGAGATGTCCGGAGAGACCCAATCATGGGAAAGCGCATCGTCGAGGGAGGGGAGGGGGGAGAATATGAAGATGCAAAATGCTCGAAGGCATGAATGAATGCGCCCGGACCCGGAAAAGCGTCGTCAACGAAAGTCGATTGAATGTCGATGAGACGAAATCGGCGAGGCCATGCAAAAAGGGGGCCCCGGACCCCTCGCGGCCATTGGCCAAGGGGGCGCAAAACAACAAAGTCTACCGTTGATGTGTCGAGGGGCAGGCAGATCTTTTGGCCCTCGGCGCACAAACGGTTTGAATGCGTCCATGTGTTCTACGGCCGGACATGCTCCCTCCCCTTTCCACTGTGTCTGTGTGCGCGAGCCTCTGTCAGGACCTCGCAGCCGAACCAGCCCCCTCCCCCCATCCCTCCCTCCCTCTCTCCCTCCCTTCCTTCACTCGCTCGCTTATCACATGGCAGTTTGTCTGCACATCCGATTGTCGTTCACTGGCCCTCCTCCTCCTCCTCCTCCTCCCCCCTCACTGAGCTTCCCTCCCCACGCTGGTCAATGCCCCCCCTCCTTCCCCCATCCCCTACCCCCTTTCCTCTTACCCCTTACCCCTTAGCCCTTAGCCCCGTTCCCCCTTCCCATTTACCCTTACCCCTTAGCCCTTAGCCCCGTTCCCCTTTCCCCTTCGCCATTTAGCCCTTAGCCCTTAGCCCCTAGCCCCGTTCCCTTCCCCATTTCCCCTTACCCCTTAGCACTATGGACCGCCCATGGCAGCAGGCAGCCTCTGTGTGTCTCTGAGTGTCTGAGACCTCGCGGTGACGGGTATGGTGGAGGGGAGGAGTGCCGCTGCTCGGGCCTGACCGAGAGCCGACTTTCATTCAATCGCGTCGTCATCTTGAAGGGGGAGCAACTTTTGCTGGCTGGGTGGGAGGGGGGGATGGGGGATGGGGGAGCACATGGGCCTGTTGTCGTGCGGCTCCAATGGAAATTCGATCAACTGCTTTGGACGGTTGAAATCTTCAACAGGACGGGACGGGACGGGACGGGAGGGTGATGGGAGCTAGAGCAGCAGCTACATTCCAGGGTCGTGTTCGGGAGCGGAGAAGTCGGGACTAGCCCATACCTCCGCCACTGGGAAGACTTGAAGGCGCCAGAAAGAGGAGGAGGAGGAGGAGGGGCGGGGCTACTCCATTTCGACTCAGAAGCGTGATCGGCCGCGGGCTATTTGCGGACGGGCGTCGTATTGCTCGACGCGGGCGATGGCGTCAAAGTTGGTGATCCGAACACCTTTCGCCAATCGACCGGATCTGCGAGCGAGGGCGATCGCCTTTTCGCCTTTTCTCAAACGCGGCCGTCGATGAATGGATCGAGGGCGGGCGAAAGTGGACTTTGCTTCCCTCGCTCCCTCGCTCCCTCGCTCCGGCGCATTTCAAAAGGCAAAAGCGGGCCGAGTTTGTCATGTCCCATGTTGGCCCGGCCCCCCCTCCCCCTCCCTCCCCAACTTGGCGTGCTTTCTTCCTTTAAAGCCAAAGCTGCGCCCCGCCGGTTCACGAGCGCCATAGCCTCCTAGGATCTTGACCCGGGCAACGGGCAAAAGGCCATGGCTCTGTGTGCGCCTCTGCGCCTCGGACTTGTGTCGTAGTGTCTGTCGGCTTTTGAAATTCCTTGCAAATGGAATTTCAGAATGTTTTTCGGGAATTTTAGAGCGGTTGCCTGGAGTTCTGTTCTCGGCGCCCTTGAGCTTAGGGTCCGGCCGGATCCGCTCATGATTAAAGCTGCCATCTCACCTTCAACGAGTGAAGTGGACGACCCCACTCCACAACCTTTCCTGTGATTGTCTTTCGTGTCGTCTGCTTCCCGCCACGCTCTCAGGTTCGGTCCATTTTCTTTGTCCCTTCCGTCGTACAAGCTTCTCGAGGTGAGGACTCAACTTCTTCGCCCAGATTGTGATGCCACAGGGTTTTAAACTATTGAAGCCATTGTGCAGCGTAACCCTCATACATCCCCTCAACGTGTTCGACAGATACCAGATTAGCATGTAAATTTTCTGTCGGCGCCGGATTCACGAAGGTATATTTTTCCGGATGTATGTTTGGTGCGTGTGCCAGCTTTACGAATTTTTCGTCCGCGTATACACTTCGTTTCTACTGGCGACTCTGCACTGCTACATTAAGCGACAGTAAAAATGCACTCGTTTTTTCATTGCTGGCTCGCTGGAATCTTAAGACGTTGCAGCTTCACGAAACTTGAGCAGGGCAACACTTCACTTGTCTTGGAGTGACAAAAGCGACGTAAAAATGTGAGTCTGACGACTGACAGTGCGTGGCACAAGATTTCATTATGTTCGTCACACCCTTCTCAGTGCAACCAAGATCATTCGTTTTCTTCTCGCGTGACGGATCGATCATGATGCCACACCACGCACACAAAAAGACTCACAAACCCCAAGTACCAAAAACAAGTTTGGGCGACATGTTTTCTGATCAGAAACATTCATTTTGAACAAAAGACTGAACACAGTGGCTCTTACACGAGTCATTACTGCACCCCGATATTGAGAAATGTGCGTCCAAACAAACTGGTACATACACCAAAGACTTGAACTTGGTACTGTTTTGAGCGTAGCCAGGAAACTAGGGATAAGATGAGATCAGATGGCGCGCGAGGCCGTGAGACTGTTCTGTCAGCTTACGGTCCGACGAAGTGAAGCTGAAGACTGAACATCCTCACAATTGTGTCACGAGATCGAACGAAGCAGTTCAAAGAGAAACGTTGAGACAAACTTTCCCTGACAGCTACAAAGGAACCAACTCATACATGGCTTCTGATGATTTGATAAGGTTAAAGGAGTACACAGAACTTGGGAGTAACACATGGGAAAGAACGGTCAAAAACACCACTTCCAACTCCCGATTTTGTATACAAGAACGTGGAAGAAATAATGCAAAGATCAATACCAGAGAGAAACCGAGAAAGAAGAAACAGACAAGTTTGAGACAGGACGCATTTGTTAAACTTCTTGCTATTCGTGGAAACGATCTCGGTGATTCCTACACGTTTCACGGCAAGATTTTGTACATTGATCTATACACTAATTTCGCACGCCCCGAGAACCCTCGTTTGCTTTCACACGGTGTGGCCATGCAGCGGTCTCCATACAAATGGATCAACGCCTGGGCACACGTGAAACAATGATAGGAGCAAACCTTTGGATTCGATCATTACCTGGCGGAGAGGAGATATGCTGAGCATCGTAAATCTCGTAAACCTCAAAACCACCATGACGGCAAGTATTCCCAGAAACTGTGGTGGCTTTGCTATGGAGAACGTGAGGGAGAGGAGCTTAGATTTTACAGATATTATCAGTAATGATACAATCAGAGCATCAAAGGGAACCCTTCCGCATCAGGGTCTACGAAAATAGAATGAATTTCTCTTTCCTAGGAGCTTTGAAGAATCTATATTGACACAGGTCCAGGTGTAGTGCTACAATACAGTTTTGGGCCTTTTGATTCTTTTCCCAAAATGAGCAATTGATGCCGATGGATGTGACCCCATTCTTATGAAGGAGCTGAGGGAACTACCCTTTGACAGACACTTCTTCTGCCCGAGCCATAGCCATTGCTCTAACTGCTGCACATCACCCAGCCAAATGATTAGCACCCAATCGTATCAGCTATTGCCACGGCTTTCTTGGATACCAGCAAGCAAAATCTGAGAGTCACCACCCATCAGATGCACCATGTATGTGTTCATAGTTACCCTTAACAAGGAAAAAATACCCTAAAAAGCATGTATAGCAGGTGGTCAGCAACCAACATGTCGTGCCATCTCATGACTCTACTGGAGTTAACAGCCGCCAAAATTAAACTGGAAGAACTCTTGAAAGAAATTAAACAGGAAGCAATATGTAATATCATGAAGGACAACAAGGTCCATAAATATATACCGTTATGTCCATTCAACTTTCACTGCACTAAAGCTAACAAGAACCTAGCACCTCACACCCTCGCCACCACGTCGATTGATACGTATCCGTCTCACGACAAACAGATTTGCCCATGTGACTTGAAGATCACCAAGAAAGGGCATCAAACGTTATAAGTTGTAAGAACAAGTTCAAAATTTCAACAGTTTGACCGTCAACAGAACACAATCCAACTGGGTGAAAATGAACCATGTAAACCTTATAAAAAGGTGGACATGGGTTCCACCAATACCCGGCCTACGTTCTTGCATAAACAAGCCAGCAGTCCCGTAGATAGCAGAAAGTCAAGACAAACTAACTCTGCATAATGGAGGATATTTCATATCGCAACTAGTACCAGAAGAATCTCGTCCGTTATCATGACTCAGCAACCAAGAAATCCGGCGGACAGCCCAGGAAAACAAGCATTCAATTAGATCAGGACATACTTTAGGCCACTACATGTCATCTACAAGCTCGCTTACAACTATTCTGTTTTAACGAACTAACCGCCAGAGAAACGGCTCTCTGTAGGCGAATAATCCCAATTCTGGAGGTGGGAGCAGTAAAATGAAGGGTAAAAGTAACTTGTGATTTGTTGCGAAACAAGTCTCTCAACTGAATGAGCAACTACTGGAGAGCAGCATCCTGAAATATGTACAACTCATATTTCCAAGAATACAGACTGGATAAGACATGAAAATATATACCTCACTTCCAATTAAGTGAAACACAAGAATTCTGCAATGCTTGCTCTGCAGATCAACGAGACTTATAACTTGCTGGCTGGTAAACTTCATGCACAAATTGAATCCCCTTTCCTTCCCATCTGTGTATTCCCTTCAACCCTTATTGACAGGGCTTACAGCCAACACCGATATACTAGAAATGATCACCGAGTCGCACAACTGGCATACAAAGGACTGGTTAGACAACCAGACTTACACTTCTTGGGTGGTCTGATGGCTGCAGCTGCCGCTTCCGCTGCGGCTTCCGCTGCCTCTGCGTCAGCTTCTGCTTGTTCTGCTTCGCGAGCTGCTTGCTCTGCAGCTGCTGCAGCCGCCTCAGCCTCTGCAACCGCTTGAACTGCAGCACGTGCAGCTTCTTCCGCTGTTTTCATCTTCGTTCGAGCAAATTCGGCATCAACTATTTTTGGCTTCTTGATCCCAACTGCACCTCTCATGGTCTTTGCTGGATCTCGAGGATACCGAGGAGTTCGTCGAGTTTCATCAGCAGCGGGAGGGGGAGGAGGTGGTGGAGGAGGAGGAGGAGGAGCACCTTCCGGTCTTCTTGGTCTAGTGTTCTTGACTGGCCTTCCATCTGATGGAGAGTCACTAACGTTGCCATTGCTGACTTTGTAATTTTGCTTCACCTGTTATCATATGCCAACAACAATCAACGGCTCGGAAAAAACATAAAGATCTCCTCGGATACAGGAAGACCATGAACCAAGGAATTCTACCATTATTTACTTGCAAACTACAGCCCAACTTACAGGAGAACAGCATTCGTAACGAGTGGATAATGCCTAAAACATTGCTCAACTGGATTCGTTACCAAATGTAGCCAGCTATGAAATGTCACATGCGTAAAGTAGGGTGGCCATCGTCTCTCCTAGATCATTCTAATGAAATTAGTTCTAAAAAGGTGTGACTATTTCACAGACCAACCAATCAAGCATAGAGCTATATGGGGCCATGTGAGTCCCAAATGAGGGCCAACCTTTGTAAGCTTCCCCTGCATTGCTAATGCCTTCAATTTTGAAGTTAGTAGTCTTCGGAAGTTGGAAGGCACTGGATGGCGTTCCTGCAAAACAGTCCCCCGGTCATAATGTAGACCATCTTTCTCTAAGTATACAGCTCTCTCACTCACTCCCCTATCCCTAGCCACTAACAAGTACACTAGAAATCAAACCACCTCTGACTCAAATGACTGACTAGCTGTCAAATTCATTTGGTATTAAGATTCTTCTGGATGATGAAGTACATGCAGTACAACAACTTCAGATTTCATGAAACAGAATATACACAAATCGTATCACTCGTAAAGAATGTGCACATCGTATATCTTGGATTAAATTAGCGCGAACGGTACACCCGACCAGCTTCATACTCTACCTCAATATAGCTGGCAATTGAGGCATTGCTCGAACCATTGGGATCCTTCAATCCCAGCACAGCCTCCACAACTATATCATCATATCTGCAAACACAGGTGTGTTAACATATACTGCCATATGTTACTACATGGTAGGTATGGTATATATATGTATATAGGTAGGTATGGTATATAATATATATGAGACGTTACTACAGGTAGATATCAAGTGCATACAATGCGGCACATATACACGAGCTACCATGGGTAAAAAATTTCTTCCCACATCACGCAACGTCTTCCTATGAGTTGCTCAAATCGATGAAAATGCACGATAACAAAACAGAGTTACGAAAGCAAAGCAGTCCACTAACGTGGAAAACGTAGAAATATACACGATCAGAAACACAAAGTATACTCGAACACTATTCTTGAAGAAATCCCCAAATGTCAGTCTCCCAGGTCCATCACAATCAGCTTGTCCCCAAAGTCTTCCGTCATGTAGATTACCTTGGTCCAAGTGACTTTCGATCCGCTGTTTTGTGACCCGGCCCCGACATTGTGACAAGCAGAGGCTTGGAATCTGACACTCCATCTGGAGACACGGATTGCAAAGGGCTGACGGCAACAGCTTCCTCCATCAAAGTCACCAGACCTGACCCAGCTGTCAAGGCCAAGGACTTCCTTTCCCTTGTGGACCCCAGGCCATTGGCACTTACACTCATATTTCGCCATTTGTCCTGCAAACATCCAAACCACACAGCAGGTTCGCGTGAGATGACACGAGGAACTCTTAGAGGTCAGAAATCAAAAGTTTCTACCCTAGAATCTCCGATTTCCAAAAACGTCAATGGACAGCTACGAGTCGTTGTTGCTTTCTGTTAGTCTTATATTCAGGTTGCAAGCAATAAACCGTAGTGCTTCGCACGCGAGAACAGAAGAACAGATCACGGGTAAACCCCAAAATGAATGATCATACTTGCTGATGCTGTCAGAGCGTTTTTTCTAACAGTTATTGACAGTTATGACAGATTCTGTGACGGTTTTCAGACAGAAGTCCCGGTTAAGGAGACAGTTTTTCGGAAATTTAGTTTCCTTGTTTGGACTCAAGTTTGTGTCAGTGAACTAGTGACAGAAAGTAAACTACTAGTCTGAAAGTGAAAGGTTTGAAAGTTTTTGACGTTCGGGTGGAATTCGAGGCAAGGTTAAGAGAAAATTGAAAGTTTTTTTAAGCTTTGACCGTAAAAGCCAACCTAAAAGTTTTCCATGAGACAAATTCTACTTTCAATTCGTATCAGATTGGGAAAGACATCAACGGCGGCATGACATGAAAAAAGTGCCCCAAACGAGGCTACAACAGACTGAGCAGACCACCAGTGCAGGATGCATCGAGAGGTGCAATCCGAGGCGCAATATCCATCACCCTCCAGTGACAAAATTCCACGGGGTCATCAAAGAGTACCCCACCTACGAATCTTTACCACGTAGTCGAGCGAGGTAAAAGTACAGTGTTCATAAACAGGATGCACACTGCACTGCTACCTAGCATAGCTGCTAACCAGGGCCAAGCCAAAGCTCTGGAAGTTCAAGCCTAGTACTGCAGCGCGCATTGTGAGCCCCTCGTGCAATTAAGGAATAACTAGGAGGATCGTCGAATTCATCTGTGTAAAAAAACTAGGGCACGTGTGCTAAATATGCATCGTTGCTTCAAATTTTAATTCAGAAGCCAACAATTATACATCCTTGCGCACGAGGATCAGTAACCTTCGGCCTCGCCGATCATTTACATCGACCTAAAGAGCAACGATACGTTACAAATGTTACTTCCCCTAACCTCATATAGAAAAGTTCGCTTCAGGATTGCTCTAGCACAAGCTAGATCACCGTGAATTCTTCATCCCCACTACCTCCAATTTAAATTTGATGATGATCACAAGTAAGCAATTAGGGTACACGGGTGCAACCTTGCCACGCATCTTCGGTTACCCGTGCACTAAATAGCCGGTCAGGAGATTAGAAAGAACTTGAGAGACACTCTCGACTCGGTAACTGAATCCATAGGCACAGGGACGCCAGGGAGGCCTTTAAGATATAACCAGCTGTTCCCGTAAGAACCCATCCGGTCAAGGTCACAAAACTCAATACAAAGAAGATCTGGAAGGTCTCCGATTCATACTAAACATGAGGATAACAGACGTGGGGATACAGAAGCAAGGAGGCACTGAACACGTTATACATGATGCACGTTGAGGCTCTGTAAGCGTGAGAGCGAACATCGTCATGCAAGAGGGAAAGAGTCGTGGAAAAAATAAACTCAGTAAAGCAAGAAACGCGCAGTGACATATGCTCGACCCCTGTGCACGAAAAGAGTCAGGTCTCTGTCCAAAATGCCGCCCTCGAGACTCCTACGAATTACAGCACTGTTTCACAATCGCTCGCATTCTAGGCCGCAGTGTGAAGTCAAATCATGTAACAAAAGATATGTTTCAACGCAGGAGTGAATAATCATGTACCTTTAGGTCTACGTTTGATCGAGATGTTAGGCAAGGCCCAAATTTTGAATCCTTCTGAATCGCTCTCCATTTTCCAGGTCCGTACTTCTCAACTCCGGCCCGGAGGGCAGCCTCCTCTTCGGCCGTCCACTTTTGCTTGGGAGCACCCATTGCCTTGAATACACCCTTCCTCTTTCGATTTAGAGCTAGCTTCGTAAGATCCCAATCACGTGTTCAGTCTGAACTCTTTTCATGTCACCAAGATACACATGGAACTCCCCCCGAAAAAATCCACAGCGTCTACATTAACACTGTACTAAGGCTTGAGCGTCTCCATTGCTGTCCTTCGTGAAGCATCCGAAACTCTACCGCTCGATATTACTTCGACTGAGTCATCATGTTGTGTACATACTTCGTGGTGCAAAAGAAACCCCCTGCAGACGTGAGACATTAACTGGCGAGGAAGGGTCGAAACCCCGAAGCACAAAGCTGAATTGGGTAGGTTTCGCTGACGCAAATTCGATGATGAGGACGTTCTAAAAGAAGGAATACGGACAGAGAGAGGAAGGAAAGAAAGTCAATTTGAATCTCCCCGCAACAAACTCAGAGTGATTAGGTCACAAAAGTAAAAGCAATGAATTAGGGTTAGGGCTACGAGGTATTAAAACTAGCGAGATGGCAGCAATTCGTGAAAGCATCGAGGAGAAGAGAAGGTCGTTGGACAAGAATGGACAGTAGGAAAAACTGGGCCAGAAAGTACAGTCACGAGAGAAGGAATGGGAAGGAAACTCGGAGAACCAAAAAGACGCTAGATGATAGTTTCACCAACAAAGGGTTGCGAGTCGCCAGGACGGGAAACAACGCCAGCCCGAAGGTCCCCGGCTGAAGGACCTCAACCCCTCCCCTACTCCAATATCGCCACCAATGCAACCGAAAAATTGAACTCCAACCGTAGCAAAACAAGAAAACCCTCAACCAAATTCTCACCGGCTGAAGACGGAACCAGACCAACACCTGGGACACCGCCACCTGCTCCTTCTCCTCTTCTTCTCCCCTCTTCAGTTCTCGCTTCTTTCCGATTCCAATCTACTTCTCCGCGTGATCCTATACCCTAACCGCAAACTTCAAACCCACTTCCAGCAATTCCTTCCGTTTCGTCGCCCAACCACCAGACCCTGCTCCTCAAGGCGGAAGAAAAACACCAGCACATCCAAGATCATTCCTCGCTTCCATCTATGGCCTTCCTACCCCACCATCCATCCACGCGCAATCCTCGGCAGGAGACTTCCCGTCCCTGTCCGAAACAAACAAATCCCTCACACCATCTCGCCTCGCCTCGCCACGCCAAAGCCTAAACCCGCCCGACCGGCCGCCCGCAACGAGGCCCCAGACCACCACCTCTCCAATTCTTCGTCCCCGCAGCAACTCTTCCTCCTCCTCCTCCACACGCTGAAAGCAAACCTCGACAGCTCGTCGAGAACGAGCCTAGGGAGCAATCACCAGCAGAGTCTGTCCGGTCGAGGAGCGAGCGCGAGCAGCAGATTAGGTTAGGGCAGGTACAATTCGAGCCAGGCCCCAGCAAAGCGAACCCACGAACGCGCGAGCAGCAGGAAAGCTTACCCAGCACTATGCGCCTTTTTTTAAACTTTCCGGTTTTCCCCTCCACGAAAGAAGCGCTCCAGCTTCGATCTTTACTGACTGCTCCAAATCTTTCCCCGATGTGACCTGACCCGACCTGACTCCTCGGCCCCGGACCTCAGTGACCTGCTGACCTGGCCTGACAGCCCGTCCGTATTAATTTTGGGGTCCTGGCACGAAGAGGAGCGGCCGGAAGGAGACAACCAACAGCATGACGAGGAGGAGGAAGACCGGCCCGGACCGGACCTGTCTGTGCCATAGAGGAACTACGTCTACGGTACCGGGACTCCCCGTAGCCTTTTGGAAAGAGGTCGAATTCGGCAGAGGCTATTGTTGGCCAGTCGCTGGCAACTGATGAGAGTTGACAGTTGACGGCTGGGTGACGGTTTGACACCCTGAACCGACGTCTGGTCTACCTCGCTGGCTGGACTCCATACTTGGTCGTGGTCGTGGGCGTTTTTTTAGCAGTTCTCTCCTGGTCGTGGTGACCGTGCTACTCTGGCCGTTCCTTTGGCCATGTACCACCGCAGCTGGGAAAACCTATTTTCGGTCTTACCTGGTTTCTACGGTGTACTGTTCTACGCACATTTTTAATTCTGAAATTCAAACACCCGATTTCAATATTCTCAATTTGTGCAAGGCATTGTATTTATTTTTTTATTCTAAATAGTTTTGTAGCGGGAACCGTGGTTCCCCGTACACCGTGCGGTTTCGAGCGGTTTCACATGCGGTTTCGAAACGATGTCGATGAGTATAAAAAAAGCAACTCTGATATAGTCGGAATCCTGTCATTTTCTCCACGTTTTGCGGCCCCATCAATCATTTATGATTGTTTAGATCATCGTACCATATACAATTATAATTGGAACTGCTAGTTATTACTCACTTAGTGTTAATTAGCACTCACTATACTGTATGCAGTTATATGATTGACCCATGAAAGGTTACAGGTTCGTAGATGAATAACACTTACTTCCAAAATAGGGTGTTCGAGACTAGCGTAAGGTGCTAGCCCTAAATGAGTAATAACTAACACTTCACTTATAGATTTATCTTGTCTAATACAATAATAAGACAATAAATCGTCACTTATGTACAGAAATTGATTGAATCAGTCATATGAATTTCATGTTATACAAGAATATTCAATTTTCCTTAAGAGTAAGATTTGTAATTCTTTATTTCGTAAATTGATAATTATTCATGATTATTTACCAACTAAACATGTATTTGAGAATAGAAGTGTAATATTTTTTAAGATTCATATATTTTATTGGTTAATTTATTGTCCCAAAAAAAAATTTACTTCCTAAATATAAAAGTTGATTCAGAAAGATGAACGAATATTCAAAAAAATTCAAGATAAATTACTCAACTCGATCATTATCAAAGCATAATTTCTTACTTCAGAATTTATTTTAAACTTTGATATGAATAATTTTATATTTTTTTACTTTATTTCAAAATTATCATTCTCAAAATAAATATTCATTTAAACCGTAATGATTAAAATTCAAAATCTATGTATCAATTGAGAAATAATTATTCATGACGAATTATCTTTATATCATAACCTGGTATTTAATTACAATTTAATCTTAATTATAAAATAATCGAATACATTTTTCAATTCTCAAAAAAGCAAACACATTTTTAAAAATCTTTTAAAATTTAAAATGCTTTCAAATTCTAAAATAAAATTTTAAATAATTTTGCAATCAAAATATGATATATCATAAACATATGAATTGATTTCATTGATTTATAAATATTTATAAATTATGATAAATATTATTTTCATTCAAGTGAAATTTTATTTTTTAAAAAAATTATAAAAAATTTTGCATATGTCTTAAAACACATTATCTTTATCACTAACCTCTAACATCCTCGGTTTTTTATAAAAGTTGTGCATTTTATATTAAAATAAAATTTAAATGTTAAATTTTGATTAATTATTCACAGGATGTTGAATAGTACAAAAAACTTCTAAAGAAAAATAAATACCTTCATGCATTTTTTAATTAAATGATTTCACTTTTCATATTATTTTTTGATATTCATTTGTTATATGTGCTATAATGAAATTGAATTTAAGTCAATAATACTTGTCATATTAATCATCATCTTAATCATTCATGAAATTTTTTCATTTTAAATAATAAAGTATATACAAAAAATAATTCTAGATTTTTTTGAAAAATTATCAAAAATTTTGAAACACAAGATTTAAATCACATTCGCAGATAATATGATCTATATTATTTTTATCACATTGATAAATCATATTCAATATCTTTGTTTATAAAATTAGAACTATAAATTATATTAAAAAACTGATCCACATATTTTGTTATTATTTTGTTATTTTTTATATTTAATTCATGACATAAAATTCTTATTGCATCAAATGCTCCGATAAATTATTATTTTTATTTTGGGTTTTTATAAATTCATTGCATTATTATTATTATTTTATCTTTGCTTTATTTGAACATTTCTGTTTTTTATGCCTATTTTTTACATAGACAATTTGATGTTATTCTTGAGTAAGAAATAAAATATTTATTATATGTATGAATGATTTGACAGACGCATTTGCATAAACTGAAATCTATGATATTTATTAAAAAATTTATTTCATATAAATATGTGTTTATAAGTTTGAGCACATTGATTTTCATGTTTGTTTAACTAAGATATTTTATTATAAAATTGAAATAAGGCTCTTTTTTTCATTGTTCAAATATTTTGCATTGATGTTGATTAATTATAAGCATTTATTAATTTTATCTAATTTAATTTTAAATATGAATTTTTTTCCTGTATTTAATTATTATAATATCAATTAATCATGTAGAATTTTCCGAAAAAATCGAACTTAAGATTTCTTATATTATTCATAAGTCAAAGAGAAGATAGCAAAGATCGACTGCAAAGTCAAAGTTACATTTTTTTTTGAGTTAATAGTTGAGTTTGATACATTGTTTGTTTTTTATTTATAATCCTAAATTAATATATAAATTGAATATTTTAAGAATAAAATTATTTTGATCAAATATTATAAATCATACAATAATTTTTTTTTATGAAATAGCATATGATATATTTTATACACAAGTATGTGATATTAGGTGTATAATTTGTGGATAACATATTTGATTAAATAAAATAAATAAAGGTTCCTAATTTATGTAGATTATCTTGAAATAAAAGCATAAAAACTCAAAATAAAAATCATGGCTGATTATAACCATATCGTTTGACTAGGGTTCATGCGTATCTTTATTTGGTTCGAAGTATCAAGTTACGGTTGCAGACATGCTGAATATCAATTAGGCAAGATATGAAAGACGAGGGGCTGAGTTATAATTTTCTTGGTAGAAATATGAATGTGGCGACATCCATCCAAGGTCTTCAAGTCTTCGATATGCATTGACCAAATCCCTTGATTCATCAGCATTAGAGATATGGGAAGCTATAGATGCGGATTTTAACATGTTTGCGATGGAGATTGCGAGAGATTGAGTTACCAGGCGATAAGGTGTATTACAGTGTTTCCATCATATTATATTAATATACTTCAAGTGATGTGTTTTATTTACTCTACAAAGAGCATTGGTGGAGTCTATACAGCAGAAATAAATTCACAAGACTACAAATGCTCAAGTTGTTTGCATACCGTTTTATGTAGGTAGTTTGGATAGTGTGTGTGCTAGAGTACTTATTTCTCATCACAACACCATGGAGGCTTAGCCCATGATTACCAGTTCAGTTTTTTCTCGTTAAGGATTGATGATGAAATCATCCCTTGTTTTGGCTGTTCATTTGGATCACTTTCACTAACCATCTGTAACATAAGATGATTAAATCGTTGGAATGATGACAAAAAAAATGAATGTGGAAAATGTGGAAACTCTTCTAAGACTGGCAAGACGTTTGTTTGGTGTGGTTAGAATGCATACACAGCACCATAGTTAGTGTGCTTGCTCAGGGTCCCACACCGTCTCAAGCAGGGAGTATATCAATAGAGATATTGGAAAATAAAATTATATTGGAAAAAATCGATCACACGAAACACAAATCAATCATAGAAGCAACCGAATCTCTCCCAGGGCTCGAGAGCGCAGGCAGGGGTGCTCTTATAGCCTCGGTTCTGCTGAGGCATGGGCCATTCGATCCTCGAGACCGTGCTGCGCGATCTGACGTGAGTCAGATGTGTCATAGATCTGAAGGGCACTACGATCCTTCGGATAAGTGTCGAGTGTCCGGTCCGGGAAGACCTTCATAATGAGGTCAATGATGCGCTAATTCGTTCGCTTATTTGGGGCCCGATTTAGCGTCGGAATATCTGACAGAGTGCCCGCGATTCACGTAGACAGAACGTCGACGAGGTTGACGTTTCCGTGGAGTCAAAGGTGAAGTGTGACGTGCCGCGGTGTTGGAGTTGAAGGGGAAATGGAGTCAGTGAACCAGCCGTCTTCAACCGTTTGTGGTTGGCTATAGCCGGTCACTTATGCGACGTGCGGCTTGTGTTGTTCTGGGTGGGTGGATGGATGGATTGATGGATGGATGAACATCTTCAGATCTGTAACCGAAAGGCCTTTCTGTGCTTCATGATGGACTGATACTATTCGCAGGACTAGGACGCCTGCTGTAGGATAAGTCGTAGAAGCTGAGAATCCTCTTTAATCATTGGACCCGGTCGTACACATCCTCGAGCTTTTCAGGCCTAGCAGGTCATCCTGAAAGAAACGGATGATCTTATGACATCTTTTTCCAGGCTGCGTGGAAAAACTTCTGGAAATGAGGGTCATGACAAATATTTCGCCAACGCAAGTCCGACGGTCAATCTTTTTATTCCCTATCTCCATGAAACACAAGGGATGTGTTGATCCTCAATTGTGAAAACCCTAATAATAGTATCTACATGTACATATATTTGGTATCTTTCCTTTCAATTTTCCCTATGATATTGTCCAGATCCATTGATAAATTTATCAATGAATCTGGACAATATATCCATTCAACAACGAAAACATGAAAATCATATATCAGAGTATTAAATCTTTGTAGAGCAATGAAGATTAATATTGCTTACTTTGAGAGATAATATAAAATAGAATAAAGTGAAAAGTATGTTCTCGTTAGTTTTTTGCAAAGTTTCTAAAACTTCGTACCACATGTCTAGCGCTAAAGGAACAAAAAGGTAAACTCTGTGGATAATATTACATCTGGACACTTAAGTTCATATTATCCCTCTCGTCAAAACTTCTAAAGAGATATATAAGCACTATTTCTCAAAAGTGTTTTATATGCATCATCCATAATCATAACTTGTTACTCATGGATAAAATAATATAGAGTATGGAAATGGAAAAGAGAACATTTAAATTATCTATAATTCTGCAACAATAAAGTCCAACCTTATCTCGTAATTCGAGCAATCAAAATACACCTAATTTAAATTTCTAGATGTAATGAGTTGACGAGAAGATGAACGTCTGTAGACTCTCTCCGATCATTCATCGCAATCAGTGCACGCCAAATTAAAGAACATTAAGCTCGGAACGAATGCGCATAACGAGAGAAAAGACGAACAATATGAAAAATGGAGACGGTTGATAAACTCTCAATCGGGGGAGGAGTGACTAAATAACTCGAGATTCCGCGGCAGATGCGAAGCATATTCGCCATGCCGCGAAGAGATGGAGGCCGTCGAGAAAAGAACAAGAACGGTCCGGCGCCAAGCGACGCCGGCGACGCCAGCCAGGCGACGGACGGACGAACGAACGAACCAGGCCCTCCAAAAGAGGTGCAACTTGCACATCTTGCACAGTGCAAGGCTTCATCCGGCGATCGGACGAACGAGCCGATGACGAGAGAATGACACCTTCCACGCTTCGGGCGGACAGGGCTGGCAAGTTCATCCGTCGGGCAGGCGGGCGGGCAGAGGGTTGACTCTTCTGACATATGGGTTCCCCTTGCGGGACAGCCCAGCCCAGCCCAGCCCAGCCCAGCCCCCCACTCAATCATATGAAGCCGCTCCCGAGACCGCGACGTTGGCACCGTCGGGCGCTGTTGCTCAGACCGGCAGGTGCGGTGCCAACCTAACCCGAGTCACCTCTACCCATCCCGAGAGTTCCCGAGGCCCCTCCCTACACCCTCTTGGGTACAAGGAAGTATTTCGCAGCTGAAAGCAAATCAGAACGAGGTGAGGTGCACGAGCTCGAGCTCGAATGATTGTGCTCGCAAGGAGGCAGAGCAAGGAGATGTCGTTAGGGTCGCAGGACGATCCAATGGAACTTTCACAGCAGACAGACTCCATGGCCAAAGCCACCAAAGCAAGCGCAAGGAATGCAACTAGAAGGACGGATGGAGGGATGGGCTGACGACTCCGGCGACTCACAGCTGCTATAATATAACCGCCCCACCAGCGCATCCATCCATCCGGTTCTGATATCTCAGAAACAACAGATCGTGGGAGATGATGATGATCCTGATTAATCGTCACCAACGACCACCATCTCCTCCAGCTGAGGTCTTCTGGGCTAACCCAAAATACTTCTCGTGTGCTTGTGGGTGGGGCACTGCTGCACTGCTACACTGCTGCACTCGGACGTTCCGTAGAGGATGGATGCTCAGTTGGCATTATTCACAGGGTTTATGGTTTGCGGTTCCTTTTCTACGACCATCACCTCATATGCTGAAACATATCAGAAACATAATGTTCGTTCGATTCGATTCGGTTCGCACCAGCAACATCTGGAATGAGGAGGCCTTAGATGTCGTCATGACCCCTCCTCGCTCATGTGTTGGTAATCGGGAAGATGAAGGCGATGAGCTCAAAAGACGTGCCTGACTTTCACCCTACGCCACCAGAAGCACGGAGCTGGGAAGATTGCGAGGCATTTGGTTCTTGTCAAGTGGACAGAACTGGACGAGGGCAGCCAGCATGGTGGAGTCGAGTGGAGTGTTGTGGGTGTAGCAAAGAGAAGCTTTTTAGAAAGATCCCCTCAACTGTAAAGCTACAAAATGGGCCGTTCTCGGACAGCAGAATCAGGATGCATTCGGGCAAATGTAGCTCCACGCGTAGAGGAACGAACGAACATGGAAAGCATCTAATCATCCACCTCACACATCGCCACTCCGCCCTTGCTATCTATATCTTGCGCCGCTCCACTTTCCCTGCCCCTCGATGGATCTGATCTGTCTCTGATATTCACATCGATAACGACATGACATCCTTCTTTGTGGTGCCCAGAGACAAGACGAACAAGACTTTCGACCTTCTGAATGTGCAACACCCTGAACCATTATGCCTACACCCTCCACCACGTCCTCTGAAGACGTACGCAAGCAAGCCAGATGCGAGTGACAGAGCTTGCACGCAGCTAGATGTTCACATAGCAGAGCAAGCCAAGCCAGGAGTTTTTTCCTTAACCCATCCCATCCCATCCCATCGCATCCCATGGCGGAGGAGCACTTTACGAGCTCATTGGGCAGCAGGAGGAGACGGGAATAGCGGAGAATTGGAGGCCAAGGAGAGCAGAGCAGTAGCAGGAGCAGGGCAGGGCAGGTGGAAGATATGATACTGAAATCCGGGTCTCAAGACGCCATGTGATGTCTGCGAACATGTGAGGATTCCCGAGGCGGAAAAGCTGCTGATTTAATTATCAAGTGCTTTTTGAGAATGAGGCATAATGAGCTTCATTTGCGATTCGAAGAAAAATAGAACTTTGCTGCTGGCTGCATGCGTTCAGGATGTTTTTAAAGCATATTTCCATGTCACTCGCCCACCGAACTGACACCGGTTTTTAACCCTGGGCGTTGGAGTTCGAACAGGAATTATCTCAAATAGCTCAAGGGATCCGATTTCTCGTCCGCCTACTGTTGATTCATGTGATCACATGCACCCTACACATCCATCCTGTGTACCCTCTCTGGTCTGCAGATTCGACTGGCTGTACATGAGCCTGCTCTCCTCAATGGTGGCTGGGAAACAAGTTGCTACAGAGGTCAGTCGTTCACTGCTTGCTGCCACTGAACATGAGCAGGAAACGAAACTGCAGCGAACAATCCTAAATTTCTTCCAAACACGACTTAGATAGTTGTGTTCTGATGGAAAGAGCAGTTTTGTTTGCTTGATGTGTGTCCGTGGTCTGCTAAAAGCCTTGTAAAGGACGTCTGTAATCGATCATCGTAATGGCGGTGATGCGCTCACTCTCTTTCTGAAAGCTCGCGCGTTGTGACTGTCAACATACAGCAGTCATGGATGCACTGCATTCCATTGTCTCTCGTCTTCGACTTGCTCTGCACTGGGATCTGTACAGCAGCGCTTGACGGACGATGATGGCGGTCGCCACTGTGAACCCTTTCAACCCCGAGCCACTCGAGGAGTCCTACGACGACATCGAGTATCATCCTCTGCTCAGAGTGAACAGAAAATTGCAAAAGAAAAAATGATATGTGTTTTGTAAGACGAGAGCCTGAAATATGCTCGAGGCAATAGCACGACGGAAGTTTCCAGTCTCCTTCACATTCTTCCAGGGATTCCATAGCGAGCGAGATTTCTGAGTTGGTGATTTTTTCACTTCTTCCTCGTCTTCTTCGCAGAAAGGCGTGAGGGATGGCACATGTTGTTAGCACGCCCGGTTCCCAAGGAGGAGAACAGTTCTGTCGATGCATGCCCTACCATTATCTCCTCCTCTCCTGCTCACCACTTGCCAGGCCCTCCCCGGCCCGGCCAGCTTGCTTTTGTACCAGCCCCAGAACCATAGACCGACTCATTGTTCTGCTTCCCCGTTTGCTCGCTTCATTGTCAGCGGATTTTGTATGGCACTATTTTAATTTCTCTTTATTCTTCTGGCATATCTGGCAATGAAGAGGAATATGGCTCTTTTCGAGTCCTTTTGCCGAAAAGAAAAGCTCGAGAGCCCGGGTTCTAGGGCACAATGATATGAAAAAGTCGCATGATACAGCACGTTGTCATGGCATGGCTTTGCTTGGCTTGGGTGGTCCGCCTTCTCTCAGTCGAAGAGATGAAATAATATTCGGAGGAATCAGAGAAGCCGGTCTAGAACTCCTCAGCTCAGTAGCTATATCCTGGAAGGATTAGTCCACACAAATTCCGGTTTATGTCGTTGTCTTTTATGGACTTTTAAAAGGTGCAGATCTTCGTCTTTCAGGGTTAAATTTGTTGATTCCAAAAGGGGATGACTGCGTTCCCTTCCTTTCCCTTCGCTTCCCTTCTCGGAGCACATGAAGAGGAAGCTTTTGTTTACGTCTGGACTTTGTGAGCTGGTCGCCAGTTCCAAGCCAGGCACGAGTCGGCATTAAAGCGTGCGTTGAATATCTGTGCCCCCTCGTTGACGAGGATTTTGCTCGTACCATGCTGCTTGATGTTGCTCTTGATGGAAGAGGGGATTGGAGTTTTTCATTCGTGTGAGAGATGAAGGTTCTAAACCATTGCACGCGAGTCAAACACGGCGCTCGTTGCAACTTCCGGCCTCTTTAAAGGGTAGACTACCAACTCATATAATTGAATGTCCAACATGTGCTGCAGTCTAGAATTATTTAGATCCCAGTCCAAATGATAAAGTTACAATCCTACGGACTGCTGGTGCGAATTAAACTACAAATGATTCTCTCCAAGTACTGCTCGACCGAGGCTAACTCATTTGTTCCGTATCGACCAGAGCCCAACATTGGGTGCCCAATATGCACCCAATTGTGGGTTTGGGCTTGGGCACTGGCTATGCCCAAACCCACCCATGCCCATGGGTTTTGGGTGATTTTATTTTTCCATGGGTGGGCACAAGTAATGCTAAGGAAGTGTTTGTCAAGATCCAACCAAGAATTGGCGTAATTTGAATAGCATGGGTGGGCACAGGTAATGCTATGGGTGTGCTTAGGTCGCTGCTGATGGTTATGGTCTGGTCTGGGTGCAGATTTGAAGTAAAATGGTGGCCTCTGGTATCGACTCCCGGTACCCCATAATTTGGAATGGACTTCCATCCAGTTCTGTGGTAGACTTGAACCTGTGCGATCCATTGTCAACTCGTTTCCTTCATCTTCTCTCTCTCTCTCTCTCTCTCTCTCTCTATCTATGCAAATGTAATTTGTTTAAACAGGGACATCAATACACTTCTGCTCGACAATGTTGATTTCGATATGTTTTCGTTACATTTCACAAGTGCGCATAGGCCACCACGATGGCAGGTATTAACATCATTATTGTTGAGGCACAAATATCATTCTGTTTGGTTTTTCGTCTGGCACATATAACACAACATAACTTTATAAATATTGAGAGAAAATTCGTTGATGCAATCCATAATATATTATTCAGATGAGAAAAAATCACTCTTCATAAGTATCCGAAGAGTTTGAATTGATTAGTATGCATTAGGTGTAACAGTGCAAATGCTCCGTCGTGATGTGATGCTACTGGGAGTGAACCCATGTTAGCAATCCGGTTTCACAGTTGTACTATTGGACGGAGTCTTCTAATCTCGTTGTTTATGATTCTCGAGGAAGGAAGGAATGAGTGAATCATGGAGACCTTGAGACTGACGGGATCGGATCGGGTCCACAACAGGCTTGTGATCATGAAACAGGGCGCTCAAGATATGTGTTCGCGATCGATGTGTTAGACAAAGCGTCAAAAGATTTAAAGCGGTGGACTCGGGTAGGTAGCAGAGGTGGGGCCTCGAGCTTTTGAGATCTCTGTCTTCGGATAGACGAGCGTTTGAATATTTGGTCGCTTTAAGTCATCGTTGTGCGTCATGAGTAGCATCGGAGGCCATGCCATTTAATCCGATCCGAAGGAGGGGCGAGTTCCTCAGGCGACGGATCGCGAATAATCAGCTGCAGATGCGCGCCTTTTGCATGGCCACTCGGAAGATGGCGGGCAGCCTGATGCTATTGGATCCTCGATTCAGAACTCGCCATGGTCATGTTCATGGTCGGTAGGCTTCTATCTCTCGACTCTGTGCTTCTAACTCTTTCGGTCAACGAGGCTCCCCGGAAGTTCTATCGCGAGCACGTCGGCACTTCTGAGGCATCCAGCTACGTCACAGCGATGCTCCCTCCCATCCATACCCAGGGCCAGCAGGCCCGGAAGGAGTGCAGATGCAGATGCAGCCGCACAACACCTGGCTCTCAATCTCCGAGCACATTCCCAGATGTTGGCTGCTCGAATATACCTGACGCATATGCTGCACTAGCTCTCAGAGCTGACGAGCACCAGCATATGCTTTGCGCTCTCTCGATCTCCTGCACTGGCGCAACCGACGGTCGTAGAAGAAACCGCACTAACAAATTTGAACTATCCTCTGTCAGCAGAAGCATCAGCAGCAGGCGACTGGCGCCGATGTCGTCTGAGGTTTTGAAGGCAGATAGATGCATCGATAGGCCAGACAATCAGAGGAATGACTTGGTCAGCTGCTTTGCGCAAGCACAAGCACAAGCACAAGCAAGCCTGATCTTTGTGTCGAGCTCTGCGACATGGCACTGGGCTCCGAGGGCACACTCGAATACTGTCGGGAATTGAGTGTTCCATGAACGTCAAGATAAGCGGTGTTTGCGAGCGCTCTTCCGCTCGAGTGTGTGCTTCAGATCACGCCTGCGAGTGAGGGGAGAGGTGGTCTTGGCCCTTCCTTACTCATTGCGTGGATTGATGTGACTTTTTCTTTTCGGGTGACTGCTTTATGCTCTTTGCTCCTCTGGCTCCACTCGATGCCTCTTTTGTGTACAGTATGAACCTTGCGATGAGGATCCCACTGTCGTCGGAGAACATCGATCGATTGTCGGTATGTTGAAACAACCATCATCTTCCTTCACCACCCACATTGACACCGTATAGATTGGTGCGAACCGGGGTTGACGGAAGGACGGAAGCCTGCGAGCATATCAATGGTCGATATTCAAACTCGATAGAAGAAAATGCGCGAGGCGCACAAGTTCGATGTGTGTGTGTGTTATCGTACAGTTTCCCTGAATCTTTACTTGCTCAGAAGAGCATAGGGAATATCCGTCGTTAGAGGCATACCACGGATGCATGAGAAGATGCGCCTTTTATGTATCTGCCAATGCTCGTGATTCAGAAAATATATCTAAGCAAGAAGCATATTCTTCCGTGTCCACATCAAAATTCATCACTCGGGTTAACCCATGAATCTTCAACGAGACAACCGCCACGAGACACTGAGCAGGCCAGAAAGTTCTGTAGACAATCAGCGAGCACGTGTGCAGATATTCCCGCTACAAGTACTGAAGTTGCAACAGAAAAAAAGTCAAAACATATCTTTCATGGAAGCTGTGCCTTCCAGAAGATCTCTATTTGACATGTTCAGTGGGCCATGTTGGACAAGAGCTCGAAAATTCCAACAATTCTTACCGACGAACAACAGGCACTAAAGATTCTGATGGAGCAATTTTTTTCTCCTTATTCAAACATAAATGGTAAAACCACCAATCACTTTACATATGGAAGATCGACAGACTTCTGACTTCACTCCCAAAACATCTCAGCGAAAGATGATAATCACCTCATATACAATGATATTTTTTGACTTGTTAGCCTCTAAGCTCAGCCTTAGCTACCGATGAACTACTGTGGGCTGAACACAAATTTTCCGGGACCGTGTTTCGAAGCCACAACCTGCACCTACTGGATATATACAATGGCTCACTTCTAACAGTTTTTACTTACACTACGCAAGCAATTGCAATATCAGGCTATGTCTAGCTCCCCAATGTGGTCGGGGGGAGTTTTGTACAATAATAATTAAGTCACGGCCACATATCAACGGTGAATCAAGTGTAACCTCCGAACCTAATTCTACGTGCCACATCCATCTCTTCACTTGTGCCCAATCAATACAATATACACACTAGAGGGATCCTAAGATTCCAATGACACGGCAGAGGTCACCTACAGAATCACGTAAAGAATCTCGCAATCGTCTTTCAGCAGAATGCGCATACGTGAAAGAAAGTAAAAACGGCTTCACCGAAGGAGCTCCATCCCCGTCTGTGGTCATTTTGCTTCAGTGGCCTTCAAGGGGAAATGTGCATACTACAGTGATTTTGTCGAATTATGACAGAATCGGCATATCGTCGAAGTCTATACCTGTCGTTAGCGTTTAGCACTAACGGAGGATTGAGAGGCAAGTGGGGAGCTTCCACCAGAATGAAGTGAAACAATGCCGCAGCCTTCGAGTAGGCCACAGCCGCATTGCTTACATTGCCCATAAGCTCTTCTACCTGCATGGGCGAGAGAACATGTGTTGTCATAAACCGTAATTTGCTCCTTTCATGACCTGGATACTTGAAATAACTAGATACTTTTTGCTGCGATTAAAGTTGGCAATGAAATATAAGAAAAAATATCGCCTATTTCACGATTTCTTAGATGGAGAAGAGAGCAGCTAGAAGGTAAAAACTTACCGCGCCCGCCCTCCCCACAGCCAGAGCCGCCTGGTAAATAAGCTCCATCGCGTCTTGCATTTCTGTGCAACCTGGTCACAACAAATTCCGTCAACACGATTAGGGTTATCAGCCTTAGAACAACAATCACAAACCAGCTCGCTTATGGCATCAACTTGATGCTAGGAGCCAAAATCCGTCTTCAGTGTAGCGATAATTGAGGAAAGCTACCGAGTATGAAACTACGGAGCCATCGTTAACTTCACAGAAATCCAGGTGCATTCCTCGCTCATATGAGAACACCCATTCAGTACGGAGGATGCACCAAAGTTCAACAATTCATATTTTGTCGTCCAAAGGGGCTCAAAGGGGGCCATCCTCTAAAAGTGCACTTAAACTGAGAAAATTGTGACGTTACTTCCTACGTGATTGACTAAGAAAAAAGAGGCTGCCATATGTAGAAATTAAAGCTTAGAGAAGCTAACAATCTTAAAAAAAAGAAACAATTAATACCCTAACATTTAATTCCACTACCTAACATTTAATTCCACTATCTTACCATCTAGCACTCGAACATGCAAAGCCAGCTCTTCAGCCCGATCTACAGCAGCTGAAAATTCTCGCTCCATGGAAGAACAAGCAGTGGCAGCTGCTTTCTCCTGACCAGGCTCATATGCCCCGTCAGTGTAAATATTCCCATGATCGGCATAGGTTTGATTTCCTTCTTCGGCTTGCGCTGCCCATCGAATACAAACATGCAACGACTCCTTCCAGATGGCCAAACAAACCAACTGAACTGCAAATGACTCAAGTATCTGGCCTGCTTCCCGCTGCAAAAATTTCACCGACGATGTCATTTGAGTCCTACAAAAGACCTTGGTTATCCTATCAGGTGGTCCACTTGAAGTGAAGTCCATCCTCAAAAATAGGCGAACAAGCGAATGACAAAGACACTTCGAGCGTAAGCCAGAGTAGTGGAGTGATGGCGGGATTCAAATCTGCACACATTCTCGTACCTTGTCGGTCGCAAGCTCAGTTATTAACCGAGCACTTCGCTTAAGAGAGGCAAGTCTTTTCTGAGGATCAGGCGAGGGGCCTTCAGTTTCTTCCGGGGGTCCTTGAAATGTTTCGTGCCCAAGTGATCCGTGAGCCCATGCATAGTTCACCGAGGATTGTGGCCCTGGAGAAGCAGTAACTGACAATGGGGCACTTGAGACAGTATTTTTCTGCGGTGACCCTACTCCTTTTACTACAACTGAGCCTTCCAGGTTAAAAGACTCTACAGACGGTATCAGGTTCCCCACTAGCACGTACTCACGCTCAATAAACTCCATTGAATCCATCATAGCCCCTGTTTCATGCAAGCATGTTTGAGCAATGATCAGCTCCCTTTCTCAATACGAACAGCAAACCTCGAGTCCAAAGCAGAAGCAGTAAGGATGAAACCGGAGAACCTCCACCTTCGCTAACACCTCTTTAGCTTCATTACTAGTCATACAATCAATGACGCAAGTCCACATACTCGAACAGTTAACACTCAGGATAACACCCAGCTAGGGAACGACAGAGAGTCCATCATACCAAGCTGGACGTTAAAAACATCAAGAAAACTTCGAGGTTATGGACGCTAATTACCTCCTTTAGAGGATCCAAAAGTAGCAGAGTTGTTGTATGGTTCCCTCTGCCTGTCTTCAGGCATTGCAAATCCAGGCATTTTGTTGCTCTGTGACCTCTGAAGCCTGCTTGTGGGGCTTGTTCCTAGTCCATTGGGGCTAGTTCCTAGTCCAATATTTGGCTTCGCTTTCTCCTCAAACCCAAAACCAGATCCCACTCCACGGTTCCTCGATCCGAATCCTCGGACGGCGGCAGGAGCAGTTCCCACGGAGAACTTGCCGGTCGTCCCGGCTTGAGTATGGAGCAGACTATTTGACGGTGATGCAGAGAACAACGGCGGTTTCGAATACGAGGCAGAATGTACCTCCACCGGGCCTTGATGTTCGTCATCGAGAGAAAACGGAAAGCAATCTTCTTGAGATGTATCAGATGATTCCCCTAGGTTTTTCACAACTTGTTGAACGGGGCTCCTTTCTGCTACCTTAGGTCTGCACCATAACAATTCCCACAACTAGTCTCAATGATGCTGAACTCGGTAAACACCTTCTGCAGCAACGCCGCACTCAAAAGCAGAGGAGAACGCTCCAACCCAGTCTTAAAGAATGGCACTTGGATATTTTATCATACTTGAGCAAAATGTCTTGATGAAAAACAAAGGTAAGTTTTGCAATTCTACACATGCAATGGTTAGATAATACCAACGACTCCATTTTGAGGTACGAGGAAGACCTCAACAAAACTATCGGGGTGTGCATTGCAATCCTTTTCTAAAGATCTAGGAGGTTTCATTCCAATAACAAGAGAAAAAAACGACTCATTATAGTGAAACATTCTACCAAACGAACAAGTCGTATAATTATAATTAACTTTAGCTTGAACGATCAATACTATCAAAAGCTTACTAAGATTCTCCCCCAGACTGGAGTACAGTCCAAACAAGATGCTTCAATGGCGACCAGTAAAGAGTCAGTTTGAGCAATACGTGGCATATTGAGCTAAGTTTGCGGATTTAGTCAGGTAGAGGTGAATTGAACAGGACCAGGTATTGACAACAGGAGAAGGATGCAACAAACTCATAAATATCAAATTCATTGGCATCTTCCGTTGTAGACCAGTTGGTTAGTATACTCGGCTCTAACCCGAGCAACTCGGGTTCAAGTCCTGACAAAGTCAGCAGATTCTACACATTCCGTTGCTGGGAATAAAACCCGCCAACAGAATCTTCCGTTGTAGTCCAGTTGGTTAGGATACTCGGCTCTAACCCGAGCAACCCGGGTTCAAGTCCTGACAAAGTCAGCAGATTCTACACATTCCCTTGGCGGGACTTAAACCCGCCAACAGAATCTGTAAAATTTGCTGACTTTGTCAACAGCTTCTACTTTTATGTATCAAGATCAAGTACACTGTGTGACCGTGGCTGAAAATAAACGCCACACTCAAAAGCAGAGGAGAACGCTCGATCTTTTTGTCTCATACGACGACAAAAAGAAGAGCCTGCTTCACAACTCTATACAACGAATTCAAGGAATCTTACCTCGGTGCTTGCATAAAGTTGTGGTTAAAGAACTCTTCAAAGCTCAGTCTCTCAACTGCACAGAACCCCATAGTTGCGTTAATTCTATAATTTGCACAAGAGTCGTAGTCAGCGCTTGTAATGAAACACATCTTTCAACAAACGAAGAAGGATCTTTGAGAACAAAAGATTGGAAGAAAGTCATGGTCTTTCTGTATGCTGGAGACGTACAATGTAGTGATTTTCCCCTCTTTCTTAAGCTCTTCTTTCAAAGGTTCCATTACCAGCTTGCTATCAATATAGAAGATTACCTGGGTTACGCTTAAGTAGTTTCCGTATCATATCAATACAATCTACGTGTAGCTCAGAAACAATGCCCTCTGGAAACTTGACCTCGTTCGTCCTTACGATGTTGAGCAGTAACTGATGTCCGAACCATGTACACAAAAACACACGGAAATATAACGTTAAGACATCATGCATCAGTTCCTGACAGCAAAGTATCAAATTATACCTTAAATAGGTCTAACCGACCAGAGAAGACAAAAAGTAGTTATTCAGGGTCACTTCAGCCCGAGAGAGAACCCATTAGAGCAGGTTGGTAACCAATTATACAGGATTGTGGCACCATAGATTGCTACCGACAATATCTGCAATGAGGTGCTGCTACTGACCACACGACATATTTTACAAGTAGTAATAAGCTGAAAATAAAATTTGACCCACGAATAGGGCAATCATACATAAAATGGAAATTGCAATTGCAGTTTGTTAATTATAATGATAACGTGAGAGTGCAGGTTTAAGTACAAATCTCGAGAGTCACAAAGACTGAAAAGGTTGATAGGCATACATAATTTCGCCGGAATCAAATATCTTCAAGCTTGATGCAACTATCTCGTAAAGTCACCGTCCACTCCTAACGTGTTCTAGTTTGAGATAGAAATTGATAGGAGCTCACAAAATTGGTATCTAGTTGAATACCAATACCCTAGTCCCAACATTGATTCTATTTGGCATGATAATGATGGAACACCGAGACATCTCACGAGGAAATGCTCGGCTCGCTGATTGCAAGCCCAGTTTTACTACTACTAGAAAAAACATGTCCGACGAAAAAACAAGTGAACGAAAGAGATAGGAGCCCTTGCCTAAACTTGCAAAAGAACTCAGGCAACAGCTCTACTAAGAGCCTGAATAGGCCTACAATAGGCATCCTGCTGTAGATAATTCACACAATGGCCATGGACTACGACACAAACATGTATTTCTTCTCATGAAATAAGGTAAGGTATGTGATGTGCTCATCAAATGAAGACATCATAGTATGAAAGAGGCGAAGTTTATGAGAAGGTTATGAACACCAAATGCTAAATATCTGAAGTCACATGACTCTCATAAGACAACAATCTCCGCACATGTGGCAAAACTTGGTGAAGAATCTTAATAGATATGTACCTGGACGTGACTGTTTCCGTGGAAAGGAGGGCGCCCAGTAACTAACTGGTAGAGGATTGCTCCTACGCTCCACAAATCTGCCTGCAAACACAAAGGTAGTAATAACATATAAAACTCGAAATCAGAGGGTCTGAGGTCAATCAAAAGTGATTGATTAGCTTTCCAAAATATCACATTCCATATCAGATGTTTCTCATCTTTCTCCACTGCAATGAACGAACCAGACATAGTTCTCCTAGAAAATGAGAAGATACGGCCACACAACAAATGTGAACCTTTGCATTGTACTTCTGCCTTTGTAGAATTTCCGGAGCCATGTAGAGGGGTGAACCGCATATGGTCTCAGCCATACCTTGAGGTTGCAAGGACCTAGCCATCAAACGGAGAGCATTCAATGGATATACTAAGAGGAAAAAAATCGAAGATCAAAATAACATGATAGTCTTCAGTGTCCATCATGTGCTTCCTTTTGAATATTCCCCCTGCGTTCAAGTAGCATATAGAAACCTCCATCTACTATACATTCACAATGTAGAATTCTTCTTTGGCGCTTTCTAACGAAGCACTTCCCAAAGCGGATTGATACTTCCTAAACATACCATAATATAGGCATTTTTACCACGGTGTGATCAGTGGAAGCGTAAAATCTGAGCTAACTAAACTCATTAGCATTTGCCTCACAATCTAAAGACGGTATACCCAGCGCCCTGGTTGTGTGTGCTAGTGATAGAGTATGAAGAAGAATCGAGAATGAATGAGGGAGTCGAACACTAGAAAACTATTGAGAGTGAAGAGGCACTCTCCATTGTGAATTTGTTCCGGCACAATTTTGGCCGCATCGCCTGGACGACGTTTTGTTCTACTATCGTTCTCAATCTGGTAAAGGAAATGGAAATTCTAAATTAAGGACAAATATTTCGTCCTCCAAATAAAGTGTGAGTGTTACAGATATGATCCAAATCTTCCTCTCCGAGATCGAGAAGGATGAACCCAAAGAACCCCTGAGGCTTCTGGCTTCAGGTTTGAAGCCAGAAGGCTTCAGCTTCTGGCTTCCACTCCACCCCCCACTTTTTATTATGGGTCCAAACCACAGGGATACTGGTGAGACCGCATATGGTGCATTTGCATTCCTCGTATTTGGCAGTATCTCCTCCTATGTCATGGGGAGCTACACCATATTTGACCTTTAAAAAAACATTCAATAAAGGGAGAGACCATGGTGTGAGAGGCTTTCGTCTATACGGCTGGGATCCTCGCACGTTGTATAATTTTAGCATTCTATGATCCGAATTCGTAGCTTATTGCGATTCGCGGAGCTTAGAGAACAACTGAACTGATAGCTTCAAAGATGATAACCCAGCCATGGAGCAACTTCGTCATATCAACAACCTCTTTGTTTTTATCCCCAATACTTGCTGTATGCGAGATGTCACAAACGATATTATATAATTCGATTACCGAGAACATATAAGAAGGTGCGCATGATGACACGCAATAAGAGCAAGAGATGAAGAAAGGTGTAGACTCTTATATACTTCTTGGTCTAATAATATTGTCGGATAAAAAGGTCAACAGTAAAGCTTTAGCATCTGCCTTGAAGGGCAAAGCTAGACCTGTCCAGTCAACGTTCAGAGACGCGAAGGATATAATGTAAGCTTGTGAACAACTACGTCATACAGGTGTAGAATATTTTGAATCTAAACAAGATAAAACAAAACCCTCAAATTCAGAAGAGCAGTGTGCACGATGAATGCATAGGGGCCAGTGACCATTCCAAACATAGGAAAGATAAGCATCACTTACGCAGCCAGGAACAACTTCATCTGTGTGTAATTATTGAAGCATACCTTTAGGTTTAGATTTGTGTAACAAAATTACTCCGGTGTTAAAGAGCCGAGCAGAATGAGTGTACTTGTGTCATAATCACAGAATCAAAATACTTATATATTTCTGATAACTAGCAAATTAGGATATTTCAGTTCCGTCCTCGTCTACAGCCACCAGAAACAAACAAAAGAAGAAAAAATAAAAAACAAGTTAAAGTACTGACCGTGCGAAACCAAAATCTGCAATCTTTAGAACTGCATTTTGATCATCGGTTGACAAGAGAAGATTCTGCAGAGGATGATGTGACAGCAGTCAGAAAAAGTACCGTGAAAAGAACATGCAAGGACACTTCCTAATCGGATTCTGATGTCTCTCGCAGCCAGAAGATTTTGTTTTTAAGGAAGGTTTAGTGTCAAACCTGGGGCTTCAAATCCCTATGAATCAGATTGCTGGCTCTCAAAACTTGCAGTCCAGCTCCTGTTTGGACAATAAACAGGAGGTTGTAAGTATACAGTAGAAGTGGTACAAATTTGAACCCTTGAATGCAATTAACTGGCTCCGCAATGCATTTAACTGGCTCGTTCAATATTAGATCATTTCAACGAAATGCTTACACCAAAGATAGAGGATCACAATTTGGATAAAGGTCTATTGTTTTGAGCGTTACACAATAGAATCCCAGTGAGCTCATAAACAAACACCAAAAGTTTAAAAAACAAGACGTGGACGGGACGAACCCAATTGGCGCATAAAGTGACGAGCAACTGCTTCTGAAACTCTCCCATGGCGTTGAATGTAAGCATTAAGATCCCCACCGGTACAATACTCGAGCACAAGACTTATCTTTCCTGGTGTCTGAAAAATAAGCAATTCAAATTCCGTCGGCAAGCACCCCCATGAGAAAGACATCTCACCCAGCCGGGCACGTCAACATTGATACCCATCACCTGTGATAAAGAAAACAAAATCGAAAACAGAATTCTGTCCACAACGTCTCCTTACAAGCAAACCAGCACCGAGGAGGTGAAAAGAAACACTCACGATAACCATGTCAAGCAGTCGAATAATATTGGGGTGGTGAGTACACTTGAGAATATCAATCTCCGACAACAAACTCTCCTGGAGTTTAGGGTTAAGCTTGTCGGTAGCTATTTCCTTAATAGCGACCTCCTCCCCGGTCTCCATAGAGCGCGCTTTCCACACCACGGCGAACGAGCCCGATCCAATTTGCTGCGTGACGATGTATTTGCCCACAATCCGCTCCGGATGCTGGTGCTCATGGTGTCCATGGTGCCCGGCGCGGTGAGCCATCTTCAAAATCTTACACCCGCACCGCCACGCTCCCTACGAAGAATGGCTCAGCCTGCGTCTCTGCTCTCTCCAACCAACTACATTTGCACGGTAATCCAGGAGTTCATTCTCCTCGCCTCGACATCGACTCGGCACCCCTCGCGACAACCCTCCGCAAGAGTCCTCGCATTTCAATTTCTGCTCCTCCTCCGCGTAATCCCTTGCTTCCTCCTTCCCCCGATCCCTGCTCGGTCTTTCCCTCCCTCGCTCTTGTCAAGCAACATTTACGATTTCGTGCTCCCTCTTCCTTCGTCTTTCGTGCTCTCCCTCTCGGTCGTCCTTACCGCAATTGTTTCCCCGACTCATTCACTTCTCCCTTTAGTGCTGCCCTGAGGTTTGCAGAGGATCGCATATTCCGCTATTCTTTGAGTTGGCTTCACACTATCTACGTACCTCTGTTCTGCTGTTCTGCTGTTCTGCGGGCGTATTGCCCTGGCCTCGCGCACCTAGACCTCGTTCCAATTTTAGCGCGATTCTGTTACTGTGGATCATCAGCACTCAGCACTCTGCACTCGGCTGTTGCTGCACAGCCTTCGGTGACGATTTGGATGTACTGTACCTCCAGCAGCAGCACCACACTCGGCCCGAGCCACCACAACACAGATCGTTAGACAAAGGTGCTGCACCCGGACACAGGGTCGGGGATGGTGCAGGCGGCCACAAGTGGCCCGAACAACAATGTCTCACAGCATTTCATCTTCGGGTCGTCCGGGCTTGGACTTCCTCGAATACATGCCGTACCTTTTCAGTTGCACGGGGTCGCATTCTTTCCGGTCGCTGACGGCTCTGACACAGCCAAAGCCATATTTGTACGGCGCCCCTCGTTTCGCGAATGATATTTCTTTCGGTTCTTTCGGTTCGGTGTTAGCACACGGACTCAGTCGAAGACATTTTCGTCTACACGCCTATTTCTTCCACCAGAAAATGTATTAAAATTTGGTAGTGCGATTGCGATTGGGATGGATGCTCCTCGCTCGTTGTCGGGCTCGAGGTTGATCGCAGAGTTTTTCGCGTCTCCAATTTCGTGGAGTGAGTGCCTTGACAACCTACCTTGACATCGTCTACACCGACCCCGGACCTGGTGCTTTCTACGGAATTCGTATGCTACGAAGTCTTCGTTGTGTGTGTCTGTCGTCTGAGATTGTATGCTTGCAGGCAGGAAGTCCAATTTGTTAGCACCTTGTGGGGAGTCATGTACTCGAATCCTGCCTGAGCTCTGACTGCCCCAAAATCATCATTTTCTCCTTGATGGTCTCCCTCTTATCCTATCAAATGAGCACATCCTGCTTCAACTGAACGGTGTTTATTTCTATGGTGCCTCTAATTCTTCCCTTCGTTTTACCTCAGCCTAGCTCAAGCAATTTGAGTGCATTTTTTCTGAAGTGACTCAACTTGCGTTCTCCAACCCCATCGAATTTATTCCGCGTGTCGTCTACAATGCAGTCATGTACCTAATTAGTGGTGGTGCAAAAGCATACATATATACTTATCTTTGCAAATTGAAGATACACCCTTTTTAATCCGATATCTCAAAATTCCATTTTTTCAAATAAAAGTTCAAATTCAACTTATTAGTTATGAAACCTTTGTTCGCCCAATAGTAACTGATTTTTCAGTTCACATAATGCGCATAATAGCTTTGTTGAAGTGATTATATTGATGATGACATAAAGTACTCTGTTTTCTACTCCTTCCTTTGTCTTGTGGGACAAAACAAAGCGCAAGCTATGGCAAAAGGCTAGAAGACCATGAAAATCCGGCTGTCGGATAATCATTTGATACAAGCTAACAGTTAGCTTGTATCTTGTAACAAGTTAGCTGCTAACTTGATTGATTGATTAGCTCTGCTTTCAGTAAGGAAAAAGTACTTCTTGGGCAATGGTACTTATGACGATTTTTTGAAAACCACATATCTCACACAATCTGTACATTTGAAGCATTCTCACAATAATATCGTCAAAACTACAGTGTATATGTAGTGTATCCCACTGAAACTGTTATTTAGATTGGTTAGTTTATAATTTTAATACTTGATTAACGTTCTTTTCACAAATTAACAATATTGAATTTTTAAAATATGCAACTTGCAGATGATTGCTGAATTTTCGAGTTATAATGAAAAATCGGGTTAAGTTTATAACTTTATATTCTGTAGAATTTAAATCAATGTCATTTTGATTTGAAAATACCAAGTCAAAATCGCCTATTAGTGTATCGAAATCATTAATCTTCATACGATGATCACAAATGAAACAATCATTTAAATTCATTCAATAAATACGTATGTCTAAACTCTCCTTCATCTGGACTTTTTTTTTATCAGATTTTATTTTCATACTTCATGAGAATATTAATAAATTTCACTCTATGTAAATATAATTGGTACAAGCTAGCAAATTCACGCATGGTATGGAGTTTGAACAAAATGTTACACATTTGTCAAAATAGCTATAGCTACAATGCTAATGTAGTTACTGCAAATTGACTTGTTTTCTATATTTTAGAACAATTTTTTAATAAAGGATTTATATTCAAAATAAGAATCTTTCATAAATAAAGTCACAAGCTGAAATCCATGAACTATGTATAAAATAATATCAATAATGATACGAAGATATGTAAGCTTACACATACAAAATTTTACAGAAATTTCAGTGTAATCTTGAACTAAAAATTTTAAAATAAAATAACTGAATAGAAATCCGATTATATAAAACTAAAACATATTAAGTATGATAAATTTGTTCATAAAATAAAATAAGTAATTCAATGTATGAAGACATTTTTGTAAGATTCAATCTAGTAATTGTTTTGTACATACAATTATTCAATTCATTTTCAAGAATATTTTATAGAACCAACTTCATCAATCAACTCATGAGATCTTGAAATTTATTATTTTAAATGTGAAAACGTTTTGATGTATTTGAAATTTCAAATTCTATCATTTTTATTTGAAATTTTTTTCAATCACTACAAGTGATATTGAATGCATTGTGTAAAGTCTGTTGTTTGTTGCTATAATCACTAAAACTCAAGAAACACAACGAGACACTCAATCCAATCCAACTTAAAACCGAGACACTATGTAACGTGGTTCACTCTCAGGAGAAAACCTACATCCATTGGGAAAGTCACGAGTTTACTAAGAAAAAGTGTCTACTTAATACACAAACGAGGGACCTCACAGCTATTATTAGTTAAGGCCTGAGGTTACTCAGGCGTTAACTAATAATAGCTATGAGGTCCCTCCTTAATCGTAGTTATCCTCAACAGTTACTTCTTAAACCCATGGTTTGAACCTTGATAATAAAAGATAATGTAAAGCTTGTATGTTATCAAGAGTTTATAACATCCATTGTTGTTTATTGTGCTGCGCATATTTGAAAGATTGAATGAGTGTTTATGCTAAGATATAGTTGTATTTTTTTGGCGAACAAGAATCATAAAATGCTTATATACATGAATGATTTGATTTTAAAGATGGATATATAGATATATTAAATGTGATTGTCAATTTGAATTTTTTAAATTTCATCATAAGATGACAATAATTTTATTATTAGATAACTAAGTTTTTTTAGATATATTGAAAATTATTTGAAAAATTACATATAAAATATATTTTACTTTAATATTAAAAAATAATTAAATATTTAGAACTGATGCATATAATTTTCTAATCTACAAAAATGTCATCTAATTGTTCTTAGTAACCTTTCAAGAAGGATACATGAATTTAAGCCATTTTAAATAAATAAATACATTCATGGTTGTAGGTGCAAATATCATATTTCTTTCTTTCATACATTCTAAAAGCCGAATCATGTGTCATGCCGAATCATAGTGGGTATTGAATTGTCAGTGTCAAATCTAGAGCAGAGCCACATTTTGATGAAAGGTAGGGCATCATACTGAAGTTGCTATTCTAGTGTGCACTTCGGATCACTCGAAAATTGTTGTGGAGTTAAACACTAGCCTTTTAATGAAATGAGTAATATAATAATTCATAATTGCCCTTGCCCCAAGATCTTTCATTAAGAATGTGCCCACACACTCAACTGCGAAGAAACCCCACCTTTGGAATACAACAAACATAACCCTACGAAAATCTGAACAAGTCTTTCCTTTTCGTTTCTTTCGGTACTCGTTCACTGGAGTAAAGGTTGCAACCTATTGGGTAACTTTCCTCAGTGTGTGGAAACCTGATCTGAAATAGAAATAGCTTTGCGCGCACGACACTTCAGCGGTAACCTCTCTATTACTGAGTCATGGGTAATTTATCAGTCTTAGAGAAAATATCTGCCCTTCAACTGGCGGCTACAATACAGCATAATCTTGTGAAGACATTTTTCTTCATCACACTGAGTCATAAGGGTCATAAGGGTGTGATGGCAAGGGTAATTGATCAGTCTTAGAAAGAAAATATCTGACCTTTAACTGGCGGCTACAATATATTTCTTCATCACGATACTGGAAGGCCCTCCTAGCACAATATATAAATAGGTTAATTTACTACAAAATACATAAAATTATTTGTAATATATTAGGTTAACATATAACATTTGGTTCCCGTTCGTTCTGTGGAGAGCTTCGTCTTCGTTTTATCCACTTGGCACCGTTCACTTTTGGAAGGAATCTCAGGAAGCGAACAGCGCACAAGCTGCTGCCGCGTGGCAGGCTCTCGGTCCATCCCTAGACCGTGGAGAGGGGCATTGTAGACTGACAGTAGGCAGTTACAATTCATGGTCACAACGTTGGAGGATCCGACCACACCACAGCCACGGACTGCAGAATGACGTTGAGAGCGTCGTTGCATGCGTCACACTGCTCACCACAACATTCCACTGCTGTGACATTGCTGCCATCGTCACGACACCATTGCCCTAATCACAGCTAGCTCAGAAATTGCATTCTTTGATTGAGAAAATAGGAAACGTAAAATATATTCTACGTTGATCTAGAGCCAGCTCGAACTGTATTGCTAATCGCTTAGAGTCAATTGTCCACTCATATCATCCGTTGTCCTTTTGTAGCAATTCTCTTGTTTCGTTTGACATTGTGCTGACACAAGATGGTCACTCCGATCAACCGCTTTCTCTGGGATTAGTGTTCAGCTCCAGAACTTAATATGTATTACTCAATCGTTTGTGCTGTGATTTGTCGCTGCATGTTGATATAAATCTGACATTCCATGCCTGAATCACGGTTCTCGCTTCACTCGAGATCCTCTAAATTTGATCATGCTTTTATTGGCATGCACCAGCCTTATCGGGCTCTCGTCCCTTCAAAGTCAATTATCTCACAGACACTGCTCGCTCTCATGAGACGACCGAGATGGCTCCTTTGATCGATTCCATTCATGTGCAATTGCATCTGGAGGAGCGGCTGAGGGAGACCTAGAGCACGGTCCTGAAAACTGTGGAAACTGTACATCTCGCTTCCTCGAGGTGTCGAGAAGTTGCAGCTGTTGCTGGTTGAGCGAGTCCAGGCTTCGCGTGTTTCCGGGGAGGTGAGGAGTAGATCGGGAGCTTGAGCTGTCGGACAGATTTGCAAGGCAGCAGGGTAGCGTGTCTGGTCCGAGGTGCTTTCACACCAGCTGTGAGCATGTGAGATGTTCCAGAGGTGTTGGGGCAGCACCAGCAGCAGCTGCCTGCTGCTAGTCTTGATCATCGCGGCTGGCTCTGCCCGGGGTCACGGCACATACAGCTGAAAGCTCAAAGTCAACCATAGATGCGGGCACCAACAACGATATCCCAAACATGGTCACTGGACTTTCGAGCCCTATGGCAACAAGCGAATTGGTTCACCGAGGGGCGACCTTGTGCGCGACCTGAGAAAATAGGGCTGCCTTTTCCATAGCCCTATCTGAAGCCGGAACGTGAATGGGATGTCAGGCAGGGCGAAAATCATGCGTGCGAGGAGGTACGTTCTCCGATTTACCAACAATCAATTTAAGGCTGCCGGATCAGTTTTTGCAGATTCTAGAGACGAAGAAGTCGATTGAGCAGACGCCGCCAAAGAGCTGTTTGCAATGTCGTTCTATGTAATAAACATGCTGGAAACGATATAGGCTTCCACCTTCTCAGCCAGTTCTCCCCAGAGAAGAGTACCTGAGAAACATGATCGACGGATGTGTCCTCGATGACTGTCAGAACACTAGACAATGCCGGTGGGCGGAAGTTCACCTTGCGGACCTCTTGGATGTCTTCGTGGAAATTTGGTAATTGCTGGGGTGGAAAAGGAGAGTGTGACGAAGCTGTGGATGAAATGATTCGACGAAAGTGTTGAGCGCTGCTCTCAAGAAGCTGGTTCTGAATCGGCTGCCAAAGCAAGACCCATGAGACTATCGATACTACAGTAAATGACGGAGCACTTCAGAATATGGATTCACTCTGGAGTAACAAGCATGTGTGGATCGGGGTTGTACAATGCGGTCGGCCAGCCGACCTTGTAACGAATGTCTGACAATGGGACCGATTCCATCCGACTGAGTGAGCACACCAGATTTCGGCCGAGAAATTCCGGGTCGCTGAACTGCATTTCGAGAACTGAAAGGTTCGATCGACCTGTAGGGGGAGACTGCTCTCCCCACTCTGTCAGAACAACAATCTGCTGTCCGTCATACGGTAATAACGCAGCAGAGAGAAACGCTGAACCGGGCTAGGTACATAGAACGAGGGGTCCTCGGTTTGGCAATGCCCGGCGATCAGTCAGTGGCTGTAAGAGCGCAGGTCGAAATGGAGCCGCTATCGCCTCATGTAAATACGCTCTGGTGCAGCAGCTCTCGGACTCCCACACATTCTACGTCTACTGTCAAAACGTTTGATATATCTTCCGTTCGCTCGGTAGATCCTGAGTACGTACGTACTGGGACACTTGCCATTGACCTGCGAGTCGTGTCTCGTTTATTTTTTCCTACGGCCGCTCTGCATTGAGCTAGGTGCCATTCCGAGCTGCAGGTGCAGACAAGTGGTTTCAACAGTGACTAATCATATATTCGAGAAATTCATCCCTTCATCATGTATTTCAGGTGGTCGTCAAAGACTTCGATCGATTATGGACGAATGAATAACCAGATCTCGATGAGATCTCAACATCTGAAGGTTATAAAGAGCTCGTCTATCTGGAGAATACGTTGTGAAGTACAGTAACATCATCCAGATGCACGATGATGTAGATTCGTAAAGAGCTACTTCATCATCTCATACGCTGAAATCGTTGGAAAGGAATCTGAAGGTGCAATCTCCCTATAGTAGCCAGCAACAGCTCGGTCGGCCAGCACATGCGGAACCAAAGACGTTCTGCAAATCAGCCGACGGTTAAAACCTGAGGTTACTATATCGTAACCTGCAGAAGAGAATGACAGATGGGAAGTGAAGAGAATACGTGACTCGACGAGGGATTGAATGTCTACGCCATACGATTTTTGGTCTTCGAGCAGACATGACATCGACAGCTGGTATACTACGATGGTAAACAGAGAACGAATCCAAATATGAGAGTAGTTTCTTAGATCGTAAATTTTTATTCTCGCAGGATATCGAAGTTCATGTTTAATGCGCTGAGACTTATCCATATGTGAGTGGGGTGTACGCATCTTCACGCCTTCTAGTGTTCAATAGCTAGAAGGCTGCGGGGTCAGGGCCTTTAGAGGCAATGCATGATTGACCGCATCTTAAAGACATTGGCACGGTTGTTGCCTAGTGCCGCATTGTGTTTGGAAGCTTGGATTTAGATTTTATTTGGATATGGTCACTTCAATTCAACAGTACCATAGATCGATCTCACTTACTTTGGGTACAACGGCGACCGGTGCTGTAAACTTTCTCTCCACTGCTCGACTTGTAAGTGGTCCGACAGCTCTGTTACGACTGGTTGAATCCGAGGTGAAACTCCGTTTGTTTCATTGTCAGGGGGCATGATGGACAAACACTGATCCTTACATTTGATGAAATCGATCTGACCTTTGAGCTCTCTGGTGCTGCGGGGTAAGGTTGTGCGGGGAGCATCTGGACACAATGAAAAACATTTTGAAAGTGCACATGAGTTTCTCAGTTGCCGGTGATTTGTGCAAGCTTCTTCAAGAGCCCACAGTGAACAGAGATACTCTCAATCGTTCAGACGATGAGCCCCCTCAAAAACTGTAACCGGATGAGCTATCCACTCTCGAACATGCCGTGAGGCCTGACTTGCTCACTCGGCCACCGAGTTCGAACAAATAAATGTGGGGCTGCCACCGCTATGAAATAGCAGAATCTAGGGCGGCTATGACAAATCCATCAGAGAAAAGAACAAGGAGCAATCGTCGCTGAATAAAAGAGGATCTACGCATGTGTTCTGTATGCACGAACTCGAGTGTCTTTTGTAGGTAGGACCTTCACTTCTTTCGGCTCAATCGTTTCATGGCAGCCCGAATCTGCACTTCTAGATCCTCCTTTGGACCCTTCCTATCCTTGTCGGCACAGAATCTTAGTGAGATCAGTTTCCTCGTTGTATCTTCTGTCATGACGATACCTGGTCAGTTCCTGCTTTCCTCTAGTGGCATGTAATCGATCCGTCGTGTGACCCAGGCAGGCCCCAGTGCTCATCGAGGACATTAAAAACTTCATCCACTTACTCTTGCTCTCTGGGATTGGGATTGGATCCTCCTCAGGAGACTTGCCGCCGTCCACCCAGAAAGATGCACCATGTGATTCAGGGGCACCTAGACAGGCTTCCCCACAGCCTCATGACAACCGTGCCCACGCCCGAGACTGGGGATTACCACTTTTGGCAAGCTCAGTCCAAGCCGACAGTGGCCTTACGACCAGTTTGGGTCATTTCAGAATGAGGACTCACGGTCCCCTGGATCGGGCTCAAGCAGGACTGGCACAGACAGCTCTCGATCTGGGGAGTGAGACGGTGGGCGGAGTCGATCGCAGGTTCAGACAAAGCTCGAATACAAGTCGAGTGTGAATGACGGGCACGGGCTGGAATCTTTTTAGATATGGGGAGCAATTGTACAATTATATTCCCGCATGCCGGGAATTTGTTTCGACTAATGTAGCACCTAATGTGTAAACCTCCAAATGTTACGAGAACTGCACAGACTGGGCTGAGCTGGGCTGAGATGGGAGATCATCCGGTGCCATGAATGAACGCTAACACTAAGAATTGTTACGAGACCTGCACAGCACGCGCTCGAAGATCGGGCAGGGCGGGGCAGGCCTGGGCTGGGAGATCATCCGGTGCCTTGAATGAACGCTAACACGAGGAAATGTAAAAGAATGAAAGCAAGAGCAGGGAAGCTGCGGGACCGCGAACCCGATGACAGACTGCAGTCCTTCTTGGCGAAGCCGATGCGATTCTGCGCGCGGTCGTAGACGACGTGGAAATTGCGCTGCTGGATGTTGCCGATGATGGTGAAGGCGCCGTCCTCGGAGGCCGGGGCCATGGCCAGGCACAGTAGGCGGTAGCCGCGGTCGGCCACGAGGAGGTAGGCGTTCTCGAAGGCGAGCTCGTACGCGACGCCCGTGAAATTGAAGACGATGCTGGGGCCGCGCAGGTCGGCCATGTACTCGCCGCGCACGTTCCAGCAGTAGTCCAGGCCCTCGAAGGGGCTCGGGTCCACGCGCGAGTAGTTCATGCGCTCCGTGACGGCGCGCACCAGGACCTGCAGCGCGCGCGGCTCCACGATGGTGAGCGTCGTGCCGCTGTCGAGGAACACGCCGCCACGACTGCGGTTGATGGCGAACCAGTCGAGGTTGAGGGCGAGGGGCGCGCCGTCGACGGCGATGCCCTCGAGCCCCACGTAGTAGAAGGTGGGGTTGTCGGGGTTGCTGATCAGCGGCGTGTACTGCAGTCCCGAGACGTTGAACGTGGCGGCCTCGGCCCCGAAGTACATGGTGCTGGACTGCGACCGCGCGCGGTCGGAGTCGACCAGGCAGTAGGAGAACACGTCGCCGTAGACGGCCCCGACCTGCGCTGGGAAGGAGATGCCTCCCTGCGCCAGGCCCACGAGGCCGTCGCTGCCCTCGAAGAGCGAGGTCGGGCTGAAGCTGCGGCGCGAGCAGCCGAAGGCGAAGTCCGCGACGCGCGTCTCGTTGCCGTCGAGCGTCTGGAGCGTCAGCGTGTCGGTCACGAAGTCGCCGGTGGTGTTGGAGAAGTCGGCGTAGAAGTAGGAGTAGCGGCAGCCCACGCGGCGCAGGTCGTCGCTCGAGGTTGGGTTGCAGCTCGTGACCCACTCGTCGTTGTACTCGCGCCGGAAGGTCTGGCACTGCGTCGCGGTGCACGGCAGCGCCGAGTACGTCGAGGAGTTCTGCGGCAGGAAGGGCGAGTTCGCCTGCTCGAAGCAGGCCTGGCACGGCGCGCACTGCAGCCACGTCAGGTCGCTGCCCGTGTCGATCACGCCCACGAAGTGCTGCGCCGGCGTGCCCACCGCCAGGCTCATCACGTACTCGCCTGGCGCCGTGTCCACGCGCGCCCTCAGCTGTTGCGCCAGCGCGCGCCGGGCCGATGCGCCGCTCTGCCGCAGCTGCCCTCGCGCCCCCAGCTCCTCGGCCCGCAGCCTGCTCGACTTCGCATCGCGCTCCGCTCGCTGCCCGTGCGGCAGCTGCTGCGCCAGTCGAGATTCGTGGTCCCTGTGCACGAGCTCGGCCCTGATCCCTCTCGGCGTCGACGAGGCCAATGCGAATGCGCTCGGCGTCGACAGCAGCAGCAGCGCAACCGCCTGGAGGAGGAGCAGGCCCATGCCCACCATGCCTTGCCGACCCCCGAGTCCACGCCCGACTCGCTGTCCGCGTCGAGAATCCAGCCTCCGCGAGCACCTGGCTACCACTACTCCACTGTCACTGTCTGTCTACTTCGCTACTCGGACCTGCGCCTGCACGAGCTCGATCGCTCCACCGTCACCGGGCCCGACGACCCTCGGAGGGATCCGCACGCGCAAGATTTCCTAGCATCGAGTCATTTCCAGCTGAACGCCGTCGAGGCCGCCTCTGTGATTATCCGATTTGGGCAATGTCGAGCCTGGATCTGATCGGTCTCAATGAACGGGGGTTCTTTCTGTCACTGGAATTGTGCAGATGAGCCGCCCACCTGCGAGTTGTTTATCCACGAGCTCTACGGGTGGAATGAATATCCGAAAAACTACTCTCGCTACGACATAGACAACTAGTGCTTGTAGCCAGAGAGAGAGAGAGAGAGAGAGAGAGAGAGGAGATCAGGGAAGAGAGAGAGAGAGAGCGAAGTCCAAGAGTTCAAATATTTTGGTCGGACGAGAAAACCAGCCGCCTGCTGCGAAATTGCATTATCAAGAGGTGGAGTCGTGACGAATCCAGGTACGAAAGAAGGACACGGACCCAACACCAGAAAGAAGAGGCTTCGTCAGGTCCACCGAATGTGCTCAGCTCGAGAAGGACTGAATAAGTACAAGAAAGTGTACGAGACGTACAACCATCCCAACCGCTGGGGCCAAGGGGCCAGGGGCCAGGGTGCCATGGAATTTTGTCCCCGCTGGAAGGCGCAGAGTTTGGACTGCAACACGTGCAGCTGAGGTCAATAAAGTAATGGCAGTCTTGGCTGTTAATGGCCCGTCCGAATCTGGAAACAGGTAAGATCGACGCGGTTTTGGGGGAGCTCGGTTGTGGATGTCGGCCGGCCAAGTCCCCATTTAGACAGCACTCAAAGTTCTCGTGAGCCAATCCAACAGAGCTTCCTTGGCAGCCGCGGTCAACTTCCGGATCCTCAGCTTCCCTGTTCCACTATTTCCCCCTCCTTCCACTCCTTGCTTCGTAATTAGGCGCTGGAACTCGGCTATGACTTCTCTGAACCTACACCGAGGCCCAACATGCAGGCGGGCGGGCGGGCGGGCAGGCAGGCATCCAGGAAAGCATCGGAGATGCGATGATGTTGTTGTGGCCGGCCTCACAACAATCCGTACCTCTGTTTGTGTACCTCTCTGGCTAGCAAGGACGGCCTGATGCACGCCGTGATGATGATGCTGGAGCTCAGATGCTTCGGCTGTCCAGCGATCAAAAGATGAAGTCCGGACCCGCGAGCTCGTGGGTCCAGACTCAGGCTGCGGCCACAGTCAACACAAAAGAACGGAACCTGAATCTTTGCTGGACATGCATTGGTCTCGAGACTAGAACTTGCCTCTTTTCACTGCCTCGCCCGGGGAGTAGTTGAAATCTCCCTCCCTAGGCGTAGATCGATCGGTGTCTGTTGGCCTGATCTACTTACTGGGGGCGGGCGCTGGAGTCGGTCTGAGGTCGGTCGTTCGAGGGTGCGAAGTTGAGAGCCGCTGCTGATCGATGGGCAAACATTCCAGACGCACCTCCACCACTCCAGAGGCAGGGACGGCCCAAGGACAGCGACGTACCTCGAAGGTACTGTCTAGATCTGAAGGTGGAAGAATTGCAGGGAGCCATCAGAAGCCTTTCGCATCTCAACATCTCAACTTCCGGCGCAATCAATGTCTGCGTCACGGACACAGGCATCTCTGACAGCGCAACTAAGCGAAATTGGCCGAACCGGATGAGTTCTCGAGCAAGTGCCCGGTTCCAGAAAACCAAGGGACCAGAATGTGTTGTGTTCTTGTGATGTACGGGTTTATAATCTAATCTAATGAATTGGTTGTAATCGTCGTGGAATCATGTCTGACTTCTGGCGATTTTTAAAAGAGGGCAACTGATGATTGGGTGCAGGGCCTGACAGGTCAGAAGGGCTGCCATGAAAACGAGAAAAATCTTCCTTCGCAAGCTGTTTCGAGTCCTGTCTCTTCGGTCTTGACGAGATGAGCTCTAGCAGCCCCAATTATTATGGCCTGGCCACGCAGTGTGCGTCAGCAGTAACTTCTGCAGATCTGAGCGACTGTCGTACGAGCTGCTCTTGCACCGCAGCTCGAAGCTGAGCTTAGCTGCACGGCGTAGTGAGTCTAAGGCATCCCTCTGCTAAGGGATGCATGTGTTTCTGTACGGACGTGCTCTCTCGTACGATAAGGAATGAATCTGTGTTCGGCTCTTGTTCCTGCCTTTCAACGATTTGAAGTATATTATTATTCTATCGATGAAAAGGCACCGGTCCCCATGCTATTTGGATGCTTGACAGTATCCTGTGACCTTTTCTGCAGGCATGGAAATTTGTGGTTTTGGTGCTTTCAAATTCGATAACTGCATTCTAGGCAGCTATCGATCTTGAAGGCATCAAGACCACAAATTTCTACTGTGTTTTATTGCTTATTGTACGGAGCGATGATAATTCAAACCACGAACATTATAGCCGGAAACGAACACCGGGAGACGCATGGTACTGGACGCTTCGGGCTTTCAATCCTGGCGAGTCATTCATTACTCATGAATAAAAAACTGTTCATGTCTACGAGTAATGGAACCTCAGCCATGTTGAATTGCAAGAGTACATGCAATTCAATTTGAAGCACGACGGATTCTCTGCGATGTTGAACTGCTACTCACCTGTAGTTTCCTCTCCACGAGGTTTGACTTACGACGAACGTACGATGGAATACAGAGTACACGACATGAGTGAATGGTGCGCAGGAAGTTGTTGATAAGAATGAAGGCAACGAGGCATCGGGAGTAGTGAAAGCTCTGAAACTAGTTGCGGATCTGAAAATGCATGCAGTGCTTCAAACTGCGGTTCGGACATGGCAATCTCAACGTAACGCAGCGTGAAGCTGGAGGGTACATCAGATCAGAGGTGAGCAAACTGTGGCCTGCTCTTATGCCTCTAAAGTGGAAAATGCCGACTCGCTGTAAAGTCTTTCTCTGCTCTAATCTAGTCTACTTAATCAGAAAGCGAACCTGGCACCTAAAGTTCTCTCGCGGATATGCCCGATGAGTATGTGGTATCTCAGGTGTTCCAAATCCCTCGGCAGAAGACGGGCTACAAGTCGCAAGTCCTTCTAGTCTAGGTTGGCGAGCAATCTCATAAATGCCATCAAATATGCCAAATACTTACAAACACCAGTCCTATGAGCAATACTTTGGTCGTAAATCGGTTGACTTTTCTCTGTAAGATGGAACATTGGTGAATAGAATTTCGTCGATCTTTCAACATGCATAGACGAGAAACATGTTGAAGAAAAACTTGTTGAAAACGTTGGGATCATTGAGACTGCTTCAGCCTTCGGACATGAGGGATCCCACCTTCGGGGGTCCCACCATTGGCGGGTATCCAAATACTTACGTCTCCAAACTCTTTCTCGGGTAATAATTCCTGGAATCAGATTGTTCCCGCATCGTACCGCACTCGTCCCACCATTCGATCTGCAGGAGTCATTCATACGAGAAGTGACGGCCATCACTTTAAACTGGATCGACGTGGTGTTCATTACCTTCCGCTCTCCGATGCCTGTTCTTGCTTTTAGTGCTAGCAAATGCACGCTTTCGGTTAGAATTACTGTGTTGTTGTTTTATAACGAAAGAAAAGAAGGCCTGGAAACGAAGAAGTGACTCGAACATTCCACCGAAGTCTTGAATAAAGTGAAGTAGTATATTCTCAGATCAGCCTCTGTGGAAAATGTAGGCGAATATATGTCCATCGTAAGCAGCGGCAGTAGACTTTCTCATGCCGAGGCATATTTGAGCTACGTAATGATAAAGCTTGGCACGACAAAGGCCTGTAGGAAATAGCACACATGCAGGGTCGAACACAGTGACGATAAGGATCACTCTGCCAGTGCGAAGGTACGTCTCTTGGGCAGCGGTCAAACGCACGCACGCTCTCTCTGTCTCTCTCGCTCGCAAGGTGCAGCGAATACAAGTTCAGAGCAGATGCCAGTATTGGGCGAAGTTTCTCAGATAAGCCTGAGATATTCAGATGAGCCCTTGAGTCGGGCGAATGGTGCGGTGCATTCTACACTCTCTGCGAATAATTTGATCTCCTGTGGACCCTCCGGGACAGAACCAGAGGTCGTTATCGAAACATGCGCTGCTGTAAATATATCACGACTCTAGAACCGAGCGATTGTGCTCGCATTGAAAGCTCCATCGTACGAGATGCCAGACATTTCGCATGCACAGCTGATAGAGCTCGATATGGGCAAAAAAAGGTGGACACTCTCTCTCATCCTGACCCTGAGCGTGTGATTTATGAAACTTGGATTTGCTCAATGCTTGGGCCGCCCTTCTACGAGCGATAGAACGATTCGTGTATCCGGATGAAACCGGCTAAATTTCGTACTCAACTTTTCAATTGCAAGATCTCAATCAAGGGGTGCAGTTACACTGCACCTTTAACATCAGCTAAAGGTGGTTGTGGAGCGACATGGAAGCTATCGATATACATCCTGCCTGGTCTGAGGTTTTGGCGTGTTATACAATGAGCGAGTCGGAGCTTGTTTCCATGTGTTCCGTTGCCAAGCAGGGGCCCTCAGTCGACTACGACCAGCAAGGCCATTACAACAATATGAAACAGAACAGCCAGAAATCAAGTCCCGGGCTTTTTATTGCGTTGTTGACACAGACAGACAGTCCTAGGGGCTGCCACGATCGGCGTGGCGTGTACTACCGAAACTTTGAGAGAAAGGCTGAAAGGCTTGCAGAACTCTATTGTTACTCCATTGGCCAGCCAAAGGTTTATGAGTCGTATAAAGTTCGTGGTTTTATTGGCCTCCCAATTTAAATATCTACTTCCAGATTAACTTAGGTAGATTAGCTCTCAATACCGGAGAAACTGTACACAGAAGCTTCATTCTGCTTCGAGAGCTTCGCTCTCTACATGAAGTCGCCCTCGAGC